TTACTATGGCTGCAAACCGTTCATGCGTTATAAATCCAACACTTAGTCCTAGTTCCTCGCCCAGCTTACAAATGTAACTTGATTCTGGTTTGCCAGGATAAATAATTCAATAATCATCTTTTAACCATTTATAGATCGTAATTTTTCTAATTTTTTATGATAAATTCTAAAAGTCGTTTAAAGTCGACCCTAGAGCATAATTTACCATCGGTTCTCGAATCTAATATAAGCTTTCAGTGATATACACAGAAAAATCTTACTTCCTACCAGATAATCAATAAATCTAGGGTAATATGTCTAAACGAATGTGAACGTTTGGGAAAATAAATATATATGAAATCCGAATACTGTCTATTGCAAAGTTGTTGTGTAAATGTTTATCGAAACATATGGCGACGTACAGACACATTTTAAATATTCAAAGTTTAAATTTTCGAACAAAATAGGTGACTTTATTTAATTAGATTATTTATTCACCATAAAATGTTCATTTGATAGCTAATTTGTTTTAAATTATATATATATATATATATATATATATATATATATTATTACTAAAAATTTACTTTCTGGAGATAAACAGTAATTTATTCACCAAGTGTAGATTTATGTCACAGATTGAAATCATAAGTCAATTGAAGCTAGACCACCATGGAAAACCTGGAAGCACTGGACGGCCGTTTTGTCCTAGTATGGGAATCCTCGGCAGTGCGCATCCCCGCACCTCGCGAGATTCGATCCCAGGATCTAACACTCTCGCGCCAGGCGCTTAACCAACTAGATTTATGTATTTGGCCATGAGGTTCATGTATTGCAATAAATTCCCGTTTAATACCTACTTGGCATATCAGTATTGAAAATATGTTGGGAAAAATGATTTTTAAATAATATTATCTATCATACACCTCTATTCATCAGCGTTCTGTTTTCTGGCTTCGTTTCTGTGACATCTTTTTTGATTACATAATGTATTTAGTGCGCGAATTCCTGTCACTCGCCCCCTTTTGAACTTAGAGTTTACAAGAAAAACATGTCAACAACTATGATAGTTTTGCTAAATTTAACAGAGATTATTTTCCCGACAGGTGTATATATATATATATATATATATAGGCCACATGAAGCATCATCATAAGGAATGGATCTTCATCGAAACGCTGGACGAGATTGAAGATAGAAAGAACAAGAAGAAAGCAATAACAGCCGAACAAGAGCAGAAAAAGTCAGGGCACAAGCTTAGTACACAGAAGCAAACGAAGAGGTGAAAAAGAGCATTAGAGCCAACAAGCAGAAATATGTAGAAGAGCTAACAACGCCAGCGGAACGTCTCAAGACATAGAAATATGAAACAACTATATGACACAACGAAGAAACTAGAAGGGAAATATAGTAAACCAGAGGGACCGGTCAAAGACAAAGGAGGCAAGACAGTCACCGAGATTCAAGAACAGAGGAACAGATGGGTGGAATACTTCGAGGAACTCTTGAATAAACCATCTCCATTGAATCCATCGGATATCGAAGCAACACACACAGACTTTCCTATAGTTTTCACTCCACTCACGATCGAAGAAATCAGGATGGCCATCAGATAAATCAAGAGTGGGACCTAACAATATACCAGCTGAAGCACCAAAGTCGCACACAGAAGTAACTGCAAATATGCTCCACATTTTATTCAGGAAGATTTGTGGGGAAGAACAAGTGCCACTGACAGACTGGAAAGAAGGATGTCTGAGACAATCAACATCATACGACGGACTACAGTGCAAAGTCGTGCACGGAGGACAGCTGACAGACTCATTCCAAGTGAGGATGAGAGTTAGATAAGGTTGCTCACTCTCTCCCGATCTCTTTCTTCTGGTGGTCAGCTGGATTATGAAGATCTTCACATCTGAGTACAAGCACGGATTACAATAGACAGGTTGAATGCAACCAAACGATTTGAACTTCGCAGTTAACCTAACCCTTCTATTTCATACACATCAACAAATGCAGGTCAAGGTAAACAATGTAGCAGCAGTATGCCTCAACATACATAAAGGAAAAAACAAAAACCTCAAACACAACACAGAGAACACTTGATGGGAAAATTCTGAAAGAGGTGGAAACGTTCATGTATCTGGGCAGCATCATCGATGAACAAGGAGGATCTGATGCAAATGTAAAGGCGAGGATTGGCAAAGCAAGAACAACATTCCTACAGTTGAAGAACATATGGAAACTAAAACAACTGCCAATCAGTATCAAAGACAAATACGCATACGACAAGTATCTGTCATATTAGTTTAATTGAGATAGTAACTGGACATACTATTTGGAGATAAATTTGATAAGCTGGTTCATTATTCTACATCTTTCTTTCGAAATAGACACTCAAACCTCTAACTACAAAAATATTAGGACAACAATCCTTGTTTTTACAATCAAGACTGATATACCTTAACAGAACATTTTATAACTAATGAACTGCAAATACTTACTAAATAGATAAATTTCTTATTAATGACAATTTTCACTTTCGCATTTACCTTTATTTGATTAGATTCTACGGTAGACAAGCAATCTATCCATAAATTTAGATATGTTCCTAAATGAACTCTTCATCGTGTAGTGACCTACTTTTATGAGGAGAACGCGATTGTTATAATCAAAACAATTATTATTATAGCCAACTGTACCAGTGATTGTTTTACTGTACCTGTTTAAGTGTACCAAAAAACTCACTCTTCCGTTGTTTGTGACCTTGCACGAACTCTCGTACGCCCAATAGTCCCGCTTGTAAACTTTGGTACGACCTCGATATTATTTCGATACCACGAAATCGCGAACAAATACATCTTACTACAACCTTCAACTGTCTTCTGATATTTGGTCTACGGAGGGATCTAACCTGGTAACTGGAACGTAGTCTTCCTGTAGTGATGATCATTGTCAACCGCGACTCGACGCCTACTAAAATTGTCTATATTCTTTTTAATGTGATCTTAATTGTCGCAAGATAATGATAATGTGATACGCTTAAGAATTACATCTGTTTAAAATCTCTGATATTAATTACTTCTTTTACTAAGGACAATTGTACACATTTCCAATGTAATCAATTACATTCGACTATGACCATTGTATTGTAAATAACCAAAACTTTTGTCCAAAATCTAAATGAATAAACATCAATTCTGATAAACCTATGTTGTTTGATGGATCGAAATGACGCTTGAAAGTTGTGTTAAATCTTTATCGTCAAATAACTGTGTGCTTAATATCATTGACAGGGTTGTAATAAAATGGATAGATAGATAATTACTAAAATGCGATTGATTTGACAAACGTGAAAATTTTTGTCTTATTGTCTTTTATTTTCCTTTGTCAATCATTCAGTGATCAAATCAAATATGTTTAGATCATCCATGTGTTCTTTCCATTTCATTAATTTAATCAAATAAAAATCAATTATTCTCTTATGATAATTATCGAGCTACATAACCTTAATGTTTATGTAGACACAAACAACCATGATCTGAACAGCTGATTTAAGAAAAAAAAGGCCTTAACAAATGAATTAATAAACTATTAAAATGATCATTGCCCTGACAATAAAAGCGATTAATTCATCGACTAAACACTTTTTCTTTAGCATCCAAGCTGGTACTGGTAAAATATCGTACAATAAAACATAAATCTGTCAAATAACTGAAATTTTAGATTGATTAGAGAAAAGATCAATATTATTGTTTTTCTGTACACATTTCATTTGTTTATCTATCTTTCATTACATTTAAAACGAAGGGAATACAACAATTTCAAATCAAAGCGATAAAATAGTGAAAATTATGGGGTAATAAAAAAGAACCATAACCGAAGAAAGTACATGGACAATTATGAAATAAAAAAGGGGGAAGTTTAAAACAAATAAATGTTTGTTGTCTCACATCTTACATTCCATAATTCGTCAAAACATAACAAAACAAGGAATTACAAGATTATGAGAGGATAGGGGGAAAACCAACTATATACAGATAGGGCGAGGCGAAGAAGTTGGTAGAAAGTAACAAAGCAATATGATTGTGAATGTGCCTTCACAGACAATAAGAGACATTGTGCAGCAGACAAGGATGACAGAAAAACAGTAGAATAAATTCATCGATAACTTTCTTCTGATTAAGAAAGACAGCTATTATAAACAGGGAAGTACAAAAAGATCATTATTACTGGTGTTCTAATTGTTATTAATATTGTTATCATTATCAAAGTAGTGGTAAATGCTTTGTGTTTTGAAACATATGGAAGAGAAAAGTAGCAATGATAAGAAAAAAACATGATGACGCTGAAAATCAGAAATGCTACACACAAAACAAAAAGGCAAGTCAAAAATTGCTAACTACAAAACTATTAAAATCTTTTAGAAAAAATGAAACACGCATACACAATGCACATTCGACGTGACTATACACACTATTTACACACCATGATTGGATAGTGGAATTAAGTAATTTCATATATATATACTTAGACAACATTGAATGGATTGTTGATTAGTTTCCTAAATTAACGATCAAGGCACACGAATGTACAAAATAAACAGAAGCGAAAAATGACTATACTTATAATAAGGCGCTACACACGTATAGATAATATGGTAACCAATAGACTAACTACCTAACGATTAAGCAGTAATTATAATGGTATAGTGTTGATGGAAAAAACATACTTAGCTAAAAATAAGAGATGTATGAGTTGCATTTCTTATGGTTATTATACAAATCTCTCTTTCTACATAGACATATAACCAATAGATACTACGATAAATTAGTGATAAAAGAAAGTTATAATTATTCAAAAATTCATTGTTTAAATCGCTGTTAATACACAGTTTACACTGGGTTGTATGTATAGATTTCTGACAGGATAAACGTGGGTTTGGTAAAAAGATGTTCACAAAATAAGTGGATTAGAAAAGAATACAAATTTTCCAAAAATAAAATAGTAATCCAGTATAGTCATCCAGATAGCTCTCTTGTCACAAAAGACATGGGGAAGAATCCAATCTAGACAAAAAAAGGAATGGAGAAATAACAAGAACAATACGAATTACACTAAATTACTTAAATTTTTACATTATATAAATCAATGACAATTATCACTACAAAAATGATAAACATTTAGAAAAGTAGTGAACAGTTGTTATTAATTCATTCAAAATAAAACTATAAAAATCAGTTAGGGAAGATTAAGCTGACAAGTTTTTGTTATAAAGGAATATAGAACATATAATATTCGGTAACATAATACTTATCTCACTGAGAGGATTGAACTAGAATGAATTTATTAAGATTGAATTGTGTAATCAATGCTAGACAGTTATCATATGGAATTGATGAAGTGAGTTGAATAGTTTATACAGTTATTTTTTGCATAACAAATTATGTTCTACTTTATAAATTAAAAATAAAAACTTACTGATATTAAGAGAGGTTAAATGAAATTAAACAATCACTGAATAGATTTATTCTAACAATGTAGTTTGATTTTTCAAAAATATTATTAAACTATTACGAGCCATAGCTAACGCTCCTAATCATTTCTAATAAAAAAACTTTAAGAGGATTATGAAGGTATAGAAATTAAAGGTGAATTACTTTACTGGAAAAGAACTATTTGACGAAATATCTTTGGTTCCTCAGTTCTTCCGGTAACCCCCAGGCTAAGTCTACACAGCAACATGAACACAAGAGAGATGGCGTGAAATATGGAAGAAATGCTTCACTTCAAAGTTTGTCTATGTACAGAAAATCTAGGGTATTCATACCATTTTAGATGGCCTTGGATTTCCAGAAATTTCTGGAACGCTAATAAACATAATAGTAGTATAGGTAATCATCCAATCAGAAACGCGACATGTGAATTCACTTTCTAGATGTTCCTCGTAAAGCTTCTATTGAATGCTACCTGGATAAGATGTTTCTTAGAGTTTTCAAAGCTTATTGAGCTTGTTTTCGAGGAATTTTCTGGATCACCCTAACAGTGATCATTACTGTAAGACTATGAACCATTCTATATATTACATTAATTTGCATGAGAATTAATAAAATGTAAGTTTTGAGACGAATGCAAAACAGGTATGAAAGAGAGAGAATTTATTTACTCTTAGAAAAAGCGATTATATACAAAAGAAAATTACTGGTAATTTCATAGTAGGGAAGCGTGACTACTTGAAAGTAAATAAGTAGAAGACTAATTAATGAAAATATTTGAAGTGTTAGTAAGTCAAAACAATTTAATATGATCACGCAACAGAACAAAATGTGAACAACACTGAATCATTGATAGTCACAAAAACGTCTCGGTAAAACTTTAATTTTATTAGGAATTAGTAAAATGATGAATACTTTGACATGTAAACGATTCTTTAGAAAATCCAAAGGAAAATTAACTAGAAACGTTTTTAAATGAGGTGGAAAATAACCGATATTTCTAAATATTGAATGGTTAAACCTAATATTGAAAATAGACTGGGTCGTTAATTCGGTTGAGTGTGAAAATATAACACAAGGGTTTCACAATGTTAACATGTGAAAAGAGACGTATAAACTTACACGACCATTTAACCATCCCTTCCACCAGCCTCTGTCTTCAGCTGCACGACTAACTACAGCAATTCGATCACCTCCTTTCAAATTCAAGAAACGACTATTAGACGTATCATGAAAATCGAAATTTGCACGAACATAGAACAATGGTGATGCTATGTAAAATGAAAGAAATACAGTTTAATAATGAAAAAGTACGTTAACCTTGATAATATATTCACGTACATTTTAATTAATATGTCCCACTAACTATATAAAACTATATACAATCCATACATGCCATGAAATCAGCTACAATCATAGTGAAAATGAAGAAATAAACAAACGGATAAATTAATGATAAAAACTATTAAATTAAATAAATAAATTCGAAATTCTAAGATACATTAGTTTAGTTTATTTATTTGATATTGAATATGATATAAAACGGTTTGAAACATAAAAAATAGAAATGGTATTCACATTTTCACATCATACAACATATGTATCTCATTCAATTTAGTTTGACTAAGTAATGTTTAGAAATTAATTCAAGTTGTACTTCAAAACTACACTAACAACCATTAAATAGTTTTATCATATAGTGGTAATTTTTTTACCAATGATAAAATCTATTAATTTTGAGAAATTAAGTTTCCATTCGAATCCTTCTTACTTTAGACGTGACAAAAGTAGTACAAATTAAATTGTCAAAGAAACCAATTTTCAATGTTTATTTTACCAATCACCTGACAACTCAAATACATTGATGAATAGACACAGAATGAAAAGAAAGAAGTATTTTACAGAGTATTAAATGAAACATTTAACTTGTATCTTTTATGCAAAATATACCTATATTCTGTGCGAATGGTGTTTGATGGTCAAAACTATAACTAACAAGTCAATCTTAGCTTAAATTTTGGTGATCTTATGAAATATAATACACAGACAAGGATTTCTCTCTCAAAAGACATGATGAAGTCTGAATGTCATAGCACTCCAATGACCTTTGTCTGAATAAACATACTAATAAGATTATTTTTACCTATAAGATAACAAACCTGAGATAAATTGCCATTTAATAAACGATCATAAAAATCAGAATACAATGAGACCAAACCTTTACGCAATTGATGGACACTGGTCAAAACTTACCTGATAAAAAAGAGGATTCAGGTGGAGAATTCAGGATACATTATTATAATGTATTATGAATGATCAAAGAAACTTTATTCAACCTGACGTGTTCCAAGGAATATGTGTGTTAGCTTAGTCATATTGAAGTAGTTAGTACAATTTCTAAGCATCATCGAATAATTGGAATATTTAGCAATTCATTCAATTATGAGCAACTTAGAACCTTGCACATATGTGTATCCATTCAATTTGATAAACCATAACAACACAGTGGGATGAAATTATCAAGACAGATGTCAGAGTAGTAGAAGTAGTAACAGTATCAGTAAAATGTGCGGTGGTATAAACCATTAGGCAAAGACAATATAGTTCGAGAGGAAAGAATGAATTCGTTAAATAAAAAGCATATGTATAAAACTCAAGATCTAAGGGAAAACATAGTGAATGTATATGTGGTATTGTGACTGACTCTGACCTACTTCGCCCAATCTCCAATTATTCATTACAGTAATCTTGATGACCTCAAATGCACCTACCGACCTCCTTTAATGAAACAGTCAGTGATTCTATTGGCGGACGTGACATATTGATTTGTCCACCCCTAGTTTTCCCCCACTTTATTTTACACAAGCAAACATTACTTACTGAAGTAGACGATGGTACAGTAAAGAAGATCAAATACAGGTATATATATACGAAACCGAAAGGTATGTAGTAGAAAAGTATGGGTAATAATAGTTAACTTACAAGGACACTTCTGGTAGGGATAAAGTAATGTGATGTCAACTTCATCGAAGCACCGATTTAACGACACTTTGGAGTAGTTGTCAATTACGCACTAAAGAGATAGACACGTGGGGAGAAAAGTATTCAATGTATGTGTATTATTAGGAGTTTATGCTTTCCAACATCAAGTTTCAAAAAATTATAAAGAAAATACTTCATGATTGTTTGCTATCAAATCCTTTTTGTTGATAAAAAATGCAGATTTTGAGAATTTCCAGAATCACAAAAAAGTTGTTATTCCCGTATAATGAACCTTACTTAGAAATAAAAATACTGTTACTAATACATCTACATTCATCAAATATTTTGGCGTACACGCGACTCACTAAAATGTTTCAGGACACAAATAGCTACAAATATAGATTGGTTATTGATTGAAAATTTTATTAACTGCTTTGGTTAATGTTTATCAGATCTTTTTTACTGAATATTCAAAAGAATATTACGTACTTGCTAAATTTCATTGACTATCCACACTAAAACTAACTCTTAATGACTACTCTTCAACTAAATATCTGTTTTTATTGTCCGAGAACATTTACGTGAAATCTTTGAGATATAGATTGATAACTGAAAAAAGTGATTAAGGTGCTTCGGTCGTATAAGATTTATACATCTCTTGTTTTCAAAGACCAATATATATCTCACGCATAGTATGAAAATTAAACGACTAGTAGATTAATGAACTACTTTTCTCGATAACCTTGAAGGGACGTTTAGTGATGCCTATTTCGACGTACAGAACTGTAACTAGAGAAAAAGTTGGCAATATGTACTTCGTGTTCAACTTTTTGTCTCTTCAGTAATTAGCTACTAACTATAGTCTGAAAATATTTCAGTAAGTTGTTTTTATTTCGATAATATATTTCATGGATTTGAAAATTTACATGAGCTTAACTAAGAAAATGATATGTAGTCCGATGATGAAGGTAATGGCTAGTGAAATCTAAGTGAAAGTATGCTATGAGTAAAGTCATCCACAGAACTTTAACTCGTCTTGCTCAATTTTATCGTCGCTCATAGGTCATATGGTCAAACCACCTCTAATAACCTGGATAATACTAGTTGAAAGAAAGTATGAGCATTAATATGTTTCGATAGCCTCAGGAACCGACAAAGTCAGTCAGTCATACACAACCAACAAACGTCACTACAGGAAATTATCTTTCAAGAAATTTTAAACAACAATCGTTTGGAAAACAGTGAAATTAAAGAACAATGAACAAAAACCTTAACCTTCACTCGAAAATCTCAACCAAGTTCCAGTAAGAATAATAATATTAATAATAAACACTAGCTTATTAGTTAACAAAGAAAACATACCGGTATATTTGGGAATTGTTCTAATTCACAAAGACCATATGTAATACAGGAATTATCAGATGATGAAAAACGCTGTATACGAATATGCCGTGGATGGCCGTATACAACAGATAGTGAGTATTCTCCCATTCTTTCAGCACTTTTAGACAGACGTACAAGAAATGTACCGTCAATACAATTACTTAATAAATTAACAGCTTCAAGTCTGTCCATTTCACCAACATACCTATTATTTGCATCAACAAAAATAGACATATAAGTTAGAGAAATAAAAATAAATCAATTAGGCAGAAGCGAGTAAAACGAATAGAAAAACAGTTGGTTGAATGAAAACAGTAAAATGCCAACATACAAAACGATTAGTTATAACAGTATGTATATATATATAACTTGAATTAAGCATGCTTCCCTCGTGCTACTGTAAAAGTACACAAATATCGAAGAAAAAAAAACAAAAGAAAAGGTTATCTGGAATTTAAGAAATTATTGAGAGAAACAATTATATACATACCCATACCAATGAAATCTTAACAAGTATGACATCATTTGAATGTTCTGATGAATAGAGGATTCTTTTTTAGTTAAATAAAATTATTTTGCATTCTATATAATACAAATCAACTATTCATAATAATCAGCATGAATAGTGTAAGTTTTGTTGAGAAAAACATGTTATAAAAATGTTAACCGATGTTGATAATTATCAAGTACATCAGTCGATAAAATTATTCTAAAGTAAACTTATTTATTGTTGATGTTGACTATATAATGGCTTTGTAGTAAGATAACAATAATGTTTAAAAAAACAATTCCAAGCCGTTCACATTCATCATCCTGTGATGAAGCATATAATAAACTGCTGGATAATCAATAACCACCTGAAACAATGAATATATACCTTCAGATATAAATTAAAATGCAAGGAGTAAGAATTTGCATCATTTTAAATGATGTGATTATACACTGTAAATTGTTGCATCTTGTCGATAACTGATGAAAGCTATAACGAAATAACTATGAGATTCCCAGGTAATATAGTCATAAATTAGAAAATTATTTGTGATACAACGATATTACGATTGAATAACAGTTTGGTATTATTTGAACTTGAATGATCATTCAACTGACATAGTTATGCAGATGAAACTTGTCTGCTAAATACAGGTTTATGTACTCGGGACTTTGAGTCACAGTATTTATGAGAGAGTTAGTAATCCTACCCAACCTTCGAAAGTGAAATAGGTAGAGTATGGTTCCAATATATGACCTACTGCTGGCTAAAAGCTAAATTTCTCAGAAACTAAACCACCATTGAAGCCTATATATTTAACACTAGCTAAGATTACTTATATTTCAAAGTGTAACAATAGTTAATACCATTAATTAACTCAGAAATCAAAACAAATATCATGTGTATACATGACAAAGAAGTTTTGTCACATCTACGGAGAATATACTAACAACACACAATATATCTACAAAGACAAAAATAAAATGTATTCAGGCAAATGATGAATGCACATTTAAAGATTGATTGATCACACAACTGTTCAATTCAATTATCTATAATAAACAAAAAGCACAGGTTTATTTTGGAAATAAATTTTTTGATGTTGTAAACACATATAATTCTAGTATCAGAAGGGGTTTCGTGGAGATTGTAGTAATTTCAATAGTTAAGATCATGAGTCAATTGAAGCTACTGTCTACTGAAATCTTACAACTCCATTTGTATCCATTGTAATGTTAAATTGATTTACAGCAAGAACTAAACAAGTCATTATATAATATTAATCATCAATTACACACTGAATAATTATAAAAAGCTATTCATGTTCAGATATGAAATTCATCAACAAATAATAAATAAATAGTGTTTACTTGATGTTTCTACTTAATTAAGTATATCAGGAAAGGTAAATATCAAACTTTAAAACCAAATCGAATTATTTAATAGATTTGTGGTTTCATAAAACTTAAACTACAATTTTAAACGAGGAATTTCTTGTTGACCTAGTAGATTTTGTTGTATTATCCAATGACTACATTCAGCTCACATATTTATCGACAGTAATTACGTTAGCATTCACAGAATAAATTTGTTAATCTGAATATATAGTTCTCGATTATATCATTGTCTTAATGTCTCGAAATAAGATCGATTTTAGCCGACTAAATACTACTTAAAATGAAAAAGAATAGTAAACTGGTTATCTTTGTTTTCTCATTCATTACTAACAGCATTCTTTATGTCAGAATTAAGTATATTTTCTTAGTGTTTTTACAGTTAAGCAAATTCAAGATTAATGTTTATTTAATAACAACTGATGATTTGATCAGCATACCAATCATTGCAGGTGACAAGTACCGTTTAAGTTACATTCTGTAATAAACTTGAATCCTCATAATCCCATTAATCAACTTATAAGTTCTTCAAGACATTTGTCGTCCAGTTTCAAATTTATATAAGAAATTAACTTGATCTCCTGAATTTAATACTAAGTAATTTGAAATTAATGATATTTTTTATAGCCGTTTATCACAGAATACTACTGTATTTATACTAGTATTCATTTGTTTATTCAATAAATTCTGTTGCTATAGCCAAACAACAAAATGCATACAAGGAATGTACACCACATCTTTTTATTTTAATATAAAAGACACATAAAACATAATAATAATAATAATGTTAGGTGGTTGGAAATAGACTGCGAGAAACACTATCTGAACACGGTTTCGTGCTAGTTAGCATTCCTCAGCAAGGAGTATCTGTAATATTGAGAGAATTAATGCTTTGCACTAGATTAGGATCCATGTCACTCACATTCAGTCTCGGACATTCGAATCTAACATAGTGTCAGATCCCTTGAAATTGCGGGTAAACCTTACTAAAGAGTGTCAACTCGCATGAATCCAAAGTCAAGCAGAGTTTTCTGTCTACTACCTCCAGCCACCTAAAATTGAAAAATAGTGAAGGCGATGTTAAATCATCTGTACTAGTAGTCTCATTTCTACTTAATCGATGGAATTTAATAATCTCTGAGGTCTAGACAGAAATGACGTTAGTCAATATTCAATTATCAATCAACCGATTAATTAGTTAATCAAACAGCAATAATAATGCCAGCAAATTATCGATATTTTGGCATAGGTTGGCTTTTCAAACCTTTAAAAATAGTAGAAATAGTATGCATGGGCACAATATATTCTCTTAAACTGTGAACAAAAAAAACAAACAATATCAAACCAAATAGTGTAAAATAATTTATGAATTATAAATAAAAACTACAAATTGTACATAGAGTAATATAAAACAGTCAAATGACCATGCAAAATGACACATAGCAATCCAGCAATTAAGGTAAACAAACCCAAACATGCAAATTATATACATAAGATGGACATACAGCATAGAACTGTAAAGTAGCTATCTTAGCAAAGTGATAAAAAAGCCTAGATTGAAACAAGTATTTACATGAATAAAATTTAGAAATAAAGAACAGACAACTACTGGACAGAATTTCGTTCAAAGGCTTTAACTTAACTCCTAATATATCGACAAGTATTTTGATGTTTAAAATTTATTGTGGTTGACATTAGAAATAGGAAAATGCTATTAAAAAAATAATAACACTACACCGTATTTGCTACACACACTTAAATGAGTTGGCATAACTTAATAGAACAATATTTCTTGTAATTGGAAAAAAATTGATTACTTTAGATATTTTTCTACAACGATAAGTAAGAAATACACATTTCATATTATAAATGTACATTATACAAATAAATAAAGATGCACAGTTTACCAGGGAAAAGTCGACAGAAAGTAATGTGAATGGTCCATCATTAGATCTGTTGGAAAATTTTCAAATCTCGAGGTGACTGTTGCACTAACTGTTGCAGTTTGTGTAGTTGACAATACTGATGGAACTAAATCAATACACTGAGATAATTCGGGAATTTCCAAAGCTGATAAACTACGCTTTTTCAAACGTCGAAACATTAATGGAGGATATGAATTATTTATATTCATATTCACTGGGATAAGAGATGTTAATGATGAGCAAGGAGGACTAGGAATATTATTATAATTATTACCGACGATAGGCGATAGACTGTTATTTAAAGTTTTATTTGCTATTGTACATAAAGGTAAGTTGGATGGAGACGTTTCATTTGGTGAAAAGAAAGGTTTCTGAACTGAAGAATTATTATTATTAAAAACTGGTGTTCGATCAGAACTAGACGATGAAGATACTTGATGAGAAAATCTTGTACTGCTTGGCTAATTAAAATAAAAATGAAAATGAATAAAGTAAATATCCCTAAATTTATTAAGACAATCAATAAAACTAGTATACACATAAACATGCTTAAAAAGGACAGAGCACATGCATTACATAGAAAATATATAATATACACTAATGATCAACTCGTGCAAATCAAATTTCCAACTAAAAAGCAAATAAAAATATAAATAGACACAACCGAGCTAGAAAAACAAAAAGTGTCGAAACAGACCAGTCATAGCCAGTAAGAGGATCATGACTGTCTACGAGTGACGTGACAGTCTGTCTGGTTTGACGTAGGCAAGTATCCACCAAAATATTATTATTGTTGCTATTATTATTATTAGTAGTAGTAGTACAGTTATTGTTTAATTTATTGTGTTGATGAGGAAAGTGTTCCAGATCGAAGTTTAAACAAATTTCTTTGGAATTATTTGTTGAAATTGAACAATCTGGGGGTAAACTGTGCCGAGAAGGATGCCCTATCAAGGTCGACAGCGACATAGCTGGATTGTTGGTAAATGTTGCATTCGAAGTACCAATCTGAATTTATTGATGAGAATGCAATCCAAAGAAAATAAATAAATAAGTAAAGGCTTCACAACCGATTGTTGTGGTCCATTAATACTTCATTTAATTACTTGTTATCAGGAAAAAAATAAAATGTATTCATTCAATCTTAATACACACATTGATTTGGGAAAAAAACATTTAGTTCAACCAAGAATTACTATGTAAATCAGATATGAACAAACGTTTTTAATATGAAGTACCATGTTCTGTCATAATTTCAAATTACCTTAGCTTTAATATAGATCTGAAGAATCACCTAATGTAGTTTTCCCAGCTTAGATCGGAATCATAAGAAATTTCGGTGAGACTATAATTTATGGACGACCTTTAAGTGACACTAAAGTCTCTTTGAAAATGTCCACCTACTTACTAGTGTTAAATAAGGGTTATAAACCAGTGTGAGGAATTAGGATTATGAGTTACAGTTGATGGTTAGGGTTAGAAATTAAATTTGTTGTTTTCATCACGAACTGACATCACCTATAATGCCGAAATGCTATTTAGCCAAATGGGTGAAGGAATTTCGCGCCAAAATCCAAGACCTATTACCTTAAATTTGATTGATTTGTCCATAAATGTTAATCAAGTATTATTTGTCATCACTCCCCATTAAAGTAGTCATAAATTAGAATCATCTAGATGAGTTGATATTAGCAGAAAAATAAGTCTTACATACACCCCGGAGGTATTAGAATGTCGAATGAATTAGAACAAGACAAGTTATAACCATATGATGAGCTATAAGTTGAAATCACTATCTTGTGTATCTAATTTACAACGATACTTGAATGCTTTATACCAAACAGCTCAGAGAAAGAAATTCCATCAAAATCATCTTCTTGAAATACAAATCTTCAGCACCACCTATTGTCTCAAAGACACTTAAATTTTACATGTTGAGGTTCAAATTGTCATTGGGACCTTAAATAAAGAGCTTGTTGACCAATCGCAGAAAAAAATGGTAAAAGAGAGAGAACAACTTACTTTATTCATTTTATTATTCACCACCATTTCAACGAGATTAGCAGGGAACCAACCTTCAGACCCATCACAATAACCCTGAATGTTGATGATTTGAAATTTAAAAAATTAAGAAAGGTAGTTAATAGAATCAAATTAATCATCAATAAGAATTAATGTGGATATAGTTGAATGGAAACTACTGTTTGGAGACAGTATAGAAGTATAACGAAGTTTATGGAATGTTTATATTCGAAAAAACACCCAGTTCTTATCTAAAATAGCATACAAGTAATTATTTAATTTTGTGGAAAAAAAAACCGATAACTAAGCAATCATTCTTGTAACAATGAAAAGTTTACTTACTTCTAACCCGCTCTTTTGGACAAAATCATGAATATTTACATTGCATCTAATCAAATAGACAATTATGAGTCAATGAAATTATCAAAAATAATAAACAATATAGAATGTACTGATGCAATCTCAGTAGTGGGTGTCTTAATCAGCTTTTTTGAAATGGAGAAAATCGTCTTTAAAATATCTTTTGGTATTCAAGTGAATCCATGATGGTTAACGTTAGAGATGAGCTAATAATTGGCACAGGTGGAACTTTTAGAAATATTTTACAGTGGGCTATGACGTATACATCTACTGTGTATATATTGGATATTTACTTTATGGTAGTTTTTTATATTGTCTTGATTATAGGCTCTCATTTAAATCGTTAACTACTGAAATATGTCTTACTACCCATAAATTATCTCCAATCGATTATGCATCCGTTACTCAGTTTGTATTATAAATGACCTAGTTATGTAAAAATTGTGATATCTTATCTGTAGTATGTTATAGTCTTTCAACAGATGCACATTATCATGAGTTCTTAAGCCACGTACAGACAGCAACAAGGTTGAATGTTTTCGTGTTCTGACTTGTACTTATCAGATGATTGCGGAGTTAGTTCAACGGCATCATAAAGTCAAATAAAGCTTTTGAAGGGTAACATTCAATAGTGAATTACTCAGTCCATACAATCAATCAGTTATTTCCCTTGAATGAAATCATTGTTTTCAACTAAAAATTTACAAAAGCATTGCTTCTGTCTACAAATAATGCAGTACAGAATGATTTAAGCTGTATATATTCAAAAATAAAGAATATGTTAACGTATACTGAATTTACGGAAACTATAAAGTTACACAGTAATGTATGACTGCTGGTGGACATGCAGAACCAAATATTGCATAAATGTAGCTAAAAAGCCAAGTAAACAAATCTGGTCGTTAATATCTTATACTATTGATAATAAAGAAATCCACAAAATTTATGTTCAGTGGATATTAAACTACATGTTATAGACTTTACGTATTCGAAATTGACAAAAGTTCATTTTTAGTAGGTAGTTGTTCGTCGATAATAGTAGCAATAAAATTGGGATTATTTTCTGTGACATATATACTATCGATGATTTACATGACTATAATTCAATAAGCATCGGAAAACATATAATTACACAATGTTAACTTTTGAAGGAAGACCCGAAATTTTGAAACATGCCATAACAAAATCAGTTTTATCATAATCTTGGAAAACATATGATAGACAAATAGATAACAAACTATTCCCACTAGTTTAGTATAATCCAAGGTCAGTATGAAGTACATGTGTGATTAGATTATGTATATTTTGAAGATTAGGTGACTTGTTAGTGTGCAAAGATTGATATTTAGCTAGAGAATTTTATAATATAGAGATGATTATTATATTTTCAAATAGTTGACAACTTTCAGTGGTAACTTTAAAGAGATTACAAGTCATAGTTAAATAACTATATATTGAACTGAATACATCATAATGACAAAACTCACCTGCCACCATGATGAGCCTTCAGTCCATTTGATCAATTCAACTTGATCTCCAATTGATAATCTCAAAGGATGACTACCTGATGGTGGGAGAGGATCACCATCATATGCTTTTCGTGCTATAGCAAAAGTTGGATTCACTGGAGGAATACTTGATGTAGGTAAACCTGAAGATATACGTCGGTTACGTTGTAAAGTGACATTCGACAGATTGTTATGATCAGTTGCAAGCCAGTGGTTCACAGAAGATAATGTATCAGTTAACTGTGAGAAGTCAAATGATTCTGAATTAGATAATGAGTTGTTTCCAGGTGTACATGGCACACTTCCCATCGTTACATGAGAACGTCGACTACGTACTGTATTGATCTGTGGAGGTAATGGCGGTGGGGCACTTGGAGGAACTCCATTAATATGTGGATTAGCCATACCACGCAGTGGAAGATTATGATTGGCAAGACAACTTTTATGTGCAGCTCGATTTGTTTCTGCATACAGAAAGTAAAATAAAGTACTCTGATATAAAAGAGTATAAAAGGGTATAAAGTACTCTTTTAGTATCAATCAATTAAAACATTACACAGGGCGTTAGTACGTTTACCAAGATTGTAATATATGATACAGCGAATAAAAAGAAAACTACTGCTACACAGCTTTAAATAAGGGGAAGTTGATCAGAAGTCTACGAAAGTCACACATTTGATTACCACTTTCGGATAAAAAAAATCGACTTTAACCAATTTGCAATTAAATCAAGTAAATATAGAGAAGCGGAAGTGATTCTTTCTTTTCTTGGGTCATCAAAATAAGTTGATCTGGAAGAGGGGAATGCCAGTTGGCGAGACTGTTATTTGTGGACAAACCAATGAAATTACGTCATTGATCCAAATAAATAAACAGAATTTTGGGATTATAGCTTATATCAGTTCGTGATGAAAACCCTGGCTCTAATTTCTAACCCTAATTCTTCATATTATTTTTAACTCTCTTTCGACTCTAGTGAGTTTTCTTAAGGTCACTTTACGTCACTCAAAGGTCATCAATCAATTATAGTTTCAAAGGTCAGTTCTCTTATGTTTCATTCATATCTTATAGCACCTAATTACAAGTCATGAAAACTCATATAGTAGGATGGAATACGCAGTTTATTTATATGCGAACTTTTCAAACAGAAGGGTCGATGGAAATACTGGTAACATTGTAGTGATACACTTTGTGCCACAATCTTGTAATAACAGACCAACACCAGTCTTAAGCTTTCCTTATAGTGAAAATAAATTCTTATATTATGATGGTACTACCATGGCACAACAGGGCTTCGAGGAATTAATATCGCAGGCAAAAGAACTCGAATGTCAAATTGACTACTACTCTAAAGACTGAAAGATATGAACTTCGAAAATAAATCGAATTCACACTTTAACTCGAACTGGAGACACATTATAAAACACCGTATGACTTTTTCGTATATATTATTATCCAAAGTACCTAGATATATCTAATACATTATGTATTTTTAGGTAAGCATCCGTTTCACAAAGGTAAGAATAAGCAAATACAGAAAAAAACACGCTAATAATTTCACTCAGAACAATGTCAGGAAGGTTGTTATATATATGTATACAACAATCAGACTAGACAGAACAAGGTAAACACTATATGAATTAAACAAAACCGATATTAATTCCCACCAAATAGACATGAAAACAAAATAAAAGTATTTTTTCTGATCATATATATAATCAGAACGGTGCTGGTATTCTGTAGTGTTAATAATAATTCTAAAGCATGTCTGAAAAGAAATAATCTTTATTATTGTCTTTGTATGAAGCAATAATGCACGCTCCAACCGATACATACAAAAAACACATTCAGAGTGAACTTCATTCTTTTAAGAAAAATGACAAAAAAATTAACAGAAGAATGAAATTTAATGTTACAACACAATCAGAGGATTAACACGAAAGGTAGGTTAGAATAGAATGACCAACTGTTGAAGATAAAAAGAAGCAGTTTTTTTTACTTTTATAGTAATACACAAACAAAATATTATTATCACTTGTCATGTTTAATAAGCCAAAACAATGAAAAACTAATTTTTATATTTTGTCTTTTGGCATAAGGGGATTTTGAAGATAACATAACATTGTTATTAGCACACTTGCCGGGGTATAGGTTTCATGCACTTAACTTTCAGTCGAGTTCTAAATGTGAGGACTAGTTATATCACTGGACTGTTCAGACCGACGTATGTGGGACGGAGTTCAACCATATAACTTATTGACTAAAAGTCGAGCGATTTAACCACTGGGTCACTGCTAACGCTTTGCAGTCTATCGAGAATAACAATCATAACATAGAACAGATGGTTATAAAGCATAGGCTTCGAGAAATGTAAATACAGACTTATTGTTTCATTCAGGAAGCTTGGACTGTAACTGCTATAGTTTCTTTTTCGCAATCAACAGAAAGTTATTAACAAAAGTTAATATAACTAGTTGAAGGGTTTCCAAGTTGTATACAAAAACTTATATATTTATCTATTGAAACATAAACATTAGTAAAGATGGACATCAAAAGAAATATGTCTCACGTAAAAAGGAAATTATATTTTGAGGAGATAAATGAAGAATAATCAAACTATTTTTTTATTAAAACACATACACATTGGAACAAGAAGGAACCAAATAGATATGAGCCACATAAATCATCCGATTCGTGTGACGGATGGGATACTGCCTGGGTGCCCAAACCGAAACAGGTGGTCTTCTTAGAGGACCACACCCAGAGCTTTTGACCTAAAGGTCTGATCCACAAGGCAGTAGAGCAACGTCAGGAGATGCAGTTCCGTGGTAGCCGGTAACTAGCATTTGGTTCGTATGCCATTTGTTCCTTCAGGATCCTGGAGCCCATGTGCACCAATGGTTTGGAATCAGGGTTTCTCAACCCCCCTAGGTAGACCCTTCATATCCATCAACCCAGTTAAAGCTCCGGACATTCGCTTTTCGTCCTCCCAATTTGGTAAAAAACATCCCCACCACAAGAAGACAGTGAGCAGGACTTCCCTTGCAGTGCCTGCATATGCGTGGCCATGTGAAAGCATTTCGAAAGGGAGAGCTGACTCTCCCCGCCCTCGGCCATACCAGGGCCGAGGACAGATTATAGAAGTAAAGATATGTCAGTTTAAAAAGTACAGCCTGAAAGAATCCTTTTAGTTATCGAAGTTCCTCTCGTTTTTATAGTAAATGCAAAAAAATACTACGGAATGACCATTGTTGACTTCTATTCTGAGCCATGAATGATGTCTTACGCTACCAGCTAACGCCATCTATAGGACTTCAACTAGAGGAGTTCTGATGAACCGACAGATCTCGGTTCTGTATAACACCCTTTGATGCCTTGGTGCCATATCATGAACTAACCATCCCTCAACTCTCTCCAACTAGCCCTAGAATCGCCAAATAAAGCACGATCTGGCAGTCTCTCTCTAAATGCTTTGATAAGGCCAAGGATAAAGAGTTCAAAGTCCATCTCCAAATCCTTTCATATAGCCATGGATTCATAGTCACTGTCAAAGAAGCCCTACGCACTGCTTTCTCACGGAGAGGATATTGTTTACAAAGGTTAGTGGACGAAAAGCCGACATTCTGCGCTTTAACCACATTGGATATAGGAGTTAGAAAACACTAACTCAAAACCAATTGTGTATATGTGCTCTAGGATCCTGAAGCATCGACTGACGTATGAGTCTTTTTTTGGTCACCAGTTACCATTGAAATCCATCTCCTGACGTTGCTCCACTACCTTGTAGATTCGACCTCTATGTCAAAGGCTCGAGAAGCGAGGTCCTAAGAAAACCATCTGCTTTAGTTTGGGCACCCAGCCCTCTCACAAATATGAATGAATAACTATAAAGAGAACTGATATCCTTTTTCCGCTTCATCACAAAAAAAATAAACATACATATACATCAGATAACACATAACTATAATCAGTAGAATAGATTAGGTACACAAAACTTAAAAGAGCAATTTCACTGGTGGAACGTACACATACAGCCGCAAGAATTTAAGGTTATGCTACAAAAAAAGGTAAACTGATTGTTATGAATTTTTGACCACAGAAAGAAATTTAATGCACTACTATTTGGATGCATATAAGGGAGTTGAATGAAACCTTGTCATTGTCATTATTGATTAATGAAGTAATCAAAATTTGATGCACCTATCAGTCTAATAAGGCACACACACATACACACGCAGAGAGAAACAGAAAGATAGCGGAATAGCAAGAATAACATTTATAAGAAAAATATTATTTTCATTAGTAATAACAGTCTTCAACAATTAATTGTGTCATAATCCAGAGGGTTAAAAATTTTGTACATACTTTAGAGTCGGTGACTGCATGGTTTGATATGACTACTAGTACTACTATTACCAGTACTGATTCAGTAATCAGTCAACCTGAATGCAAAACAGTCAATCTACATATAGGCAGAAGTAGAAGTATTTTTATATATATTTTTAAGCTAACATTATTCAAAACCATGAAGCCAAAGTAGACACATTGGAAAAATTGAAGAAAAAAGTTCTTGCTCAAATTTTCAAGTGGACCTCAAAGGAATCAAAATCGCGAAATAAAAACATAGTTAGCACAGCAATCCTCCGTCGCATTCACATATGAAATAATTAATAAGCACATAAACTAAGAGATTTACTGAAATTGTCATCAAAAGATTTAGACATTATCATACGCCAAAAAAATATTAATAAACTCCATGGTTTCAATTTCCTAAGTTCAATGATACAATATTTTATAGCAAACTGTAACTGTTTTAAAATCCGATAAAAATATTTTCGTCTATATACAAGCTTTTGTCATCTTACTGAACTATGAGCTCTCTTAGAGTTAATCTCCAAACTTCTGGAAAACTCCGTGCTTCAAAATCAATAATCATGATCAATGGTTGAAGATCTATACTAAATTAGATCAAAACTGATCATAGCGATGTAAATCATTTTTTTACTGATGACTAAATGTTGAGTTCCATTAAATGTTCCCATAATTTTTTTTTATTTTCTTATCACATTTTATTTATTCGGAACATATTCATTCTAGTGAATTTTTATTACGGTAATTGATACTAATTAATATTCCAACTTCTTTGCTATTCTCATCTTGCTGTAAGATGAAATGTGGCAATTTGAACTGATGAATATTTACGGCTGGTCCTATACTACAATAGTTGGTTGTAACTGATTGACTAAATGATTGATAAACTGATTTTTGTAAATAATTGATACATGTATTGTGGATTGCAAACAATTAAAGAAAATTAACGAATAAAAAAATGAATAAATCCATTTTATTACTGTGTTACAAGTTTGTACTACATATATATTTGTTGATTGTTTAATACTGTTCTTTTTTTGTGAAACATTTTCCGTTAATAGTGTTAAGGATAAAAATATTACAAAGATTAATTTTGTAAATTAAAAACAGTTACTACTCGTAACCGATTCCTTAAAGGATTCATCTACAAGTTCTATTGTAAACAAAACATGTTTCAATAAAAGTTTGATTTTTAAGTGTAACAAAGCGAATATTTATTTGTCTATAATGACATGAACGTATAAACAAATTTAACACAATTAACTCGGATTTAATTTATTTTTTAGTGAGTGATGGATTACAAATGAGGATTGGTCAGTAAAATTGTTAAACTTAGTTCAACAAAGAGAGGAAGTATGGTATGTGATAGTTATCCTCAGAACAGTGATTACAAATGACTTTTAAAATTGGAAGAATTCCTTTATAAATATTTATATAAAACTTCAGAACACTTCAGCTTTTTGTGAAACGAACATTGACAAAGTTAGCTACACTAGTGTTGAGAAATTAGCGACCAAATATGAAAGCTCAAAGTAAAACACAAATTACAAAACGAGCACACAATCTGATGAAATTAAATGTTTGAATAGAATTTTGACAAGTTTACTAAACAGGTGTTAAGCTATGGAGAAATTTATTGGACTACAGTTGAAAACCTTCAAATTATAGGTGAAATATATTTTTTAAGATGTATATACGCTTAACGCAATTTGCTACTAGTCATAAGCAACGTAAGGACCCGGGATCAATTTACGTCGGTACAAGTTGCCACAACATTTCAGCATCATGAGATGAAACCTTTAAGATAAATATCAGAATAGTGTCAGTGATAGCAAAACGTATAACCCATAGACAATATGGTTTAATGAGAAATAATGAATGTGCAGGGTGAAATATATGAAACAATTTTGAAAATTAGGGAAAACAAAGAATGAGTGTGTCTGTGCTACCGCAACTGATTCCAAGTCATGCTACTCAATGTCTCTAGCCAATGATCACGGTTATCACGAATCAACCAAACCCTTGAAATTACAGAGTATGAAGATAATATTCTATCCCTAACTACTGCAACCCATTAAGACATAAGAGATCTGTAAGTACAACATTCAATGAGCTATAAGCCTTGACTTTTATTTAAGCCAAGAAATAGAGTTGTTTTAATTTGTGTTACACATTACCATTAGATTTATAAGAAATCAATAAACTATTAAACTGCACTTTGGAAAATAACAGTGAATATAATGAAAATTGAGCACTTGTAGTTAATGTTTAAGCCTAAAATCACGCTGAATAGCTCACGTGAATGATAAGAAAGAATCTATCCTGACAAAACTTACCTCGACAACGATAACCTTGAAAGAACATTCCTGTGATTAATTTATTACAGATACAACAATAAGTAGGTTGTTTAAATGTGAACATTTCAAAGTTGTAACCTCGGTCTTTCGCTCCAGGTGGACAAAGATTAGACCTGTTGTCAATGAAATCAAAAATCAACATGAAACAAATGGAGAATGAGCGATGGGAATAATGACAAATTATATTAACATAGAAAATTTAAATAATAGGGGTAGTATAAAACAGTGGTGAGTATAGAAATGAATCCTTACAGATAATGCTATCTCAAATAATCAAACTATCGAATTCATTGTGCGAAACGGAAAATCAACTTTGAATACTAAGAGTAATATAAGTGGTCTGACTGACTTCAGAATTGTTGCAACTCACTGAAGTTTGACAAAATATCAAAAGCTATAGACTATCATCAAGCAAAAACTAGTTCCTTTTTAGGAAATTCACAATTTATTTTAAATGATTACAAATAACTTTCAAGACTTATAATAAATTTAAAATATTGCTAAGTTAATAGCAACCATGGTATCAGATTTGCTTAAATAAGAATGGGCAGAAGTAAGTTATGTATAGCACATTAAAAAATCTTTTATTCTGAACAACTGGTTGATAATATTTGTTCACAACACATTTAAGATTTTTTGCCTGGAAAAAAGTCCGATATCATTCAGTAGATTTCTATATAAATAAAATTATTATTTAAATATGTTATAACCCTGTTTTCTATCATACGTAAACTGAAAGCATTAAATTAACATCTACTTAAGAAATACCTATAACAGTATTCTAGCTTTATTAAGGACATAACTAAAGCTTTGAACTAATTTTTTCGGTTGTGAGGTAGTTACACACATAGGACAATGGAGGACGGTCACGCGATTCCGTGGACTTATTGAAGTTAGACATTAAAATCGTTGAATACCGACTCAGTAATATAGGGGTTAGGCGTTTACGCGCGAGACATAAGGTCCTGTGTTCGAATTCACGCGCGTGTAATCGTGGATGCCCAGTCCAGTGCTTCCAGGTTTCAAATGGTGGTCTAATATTGATCGATTTATGGTCTCAATCAAAACTTTGTATTGTTTATTTAAACTTTGTCATTGATGTTTAGGACTGCAATTGAACATCAACTCTGGGATGCAGGTACATCCAGCTGACCAGTCCAAAATAGGACAAAACGCGCGTCCTGGATCCCACTGCTAGATATTATTCATCTTTGATGATAAAGCTTAGAATGTATATCAAATAAATCCAAGATAAACAGAATTTTACCGTAATCGAATTACTCGGAAACGATTTATTTCAGGAGTATAAAGTTGATCAAGTTCAATTTAAAAAGTACAGAATACAACAGTACTCTTCACATGAAATTTGTCACAGTTGCTAAATGTATAAACAACAAAAATAAATCAATTCAAAAACAAATACACAGATAAGATTGACACCAACAACTTACAATGCAGCCATTACAGCTTTCATCCAAGCTGTACGTAATTCTTCGGATTTTGTAAAGAAAGTAAGATTTGGCGAATCTCTATCACCCAAAATTGGTAAAGTAAATCCATAGGAATACTATTTTAAATAAATGAATAAACAGTAAAATTTTGCTTACACCTACAATCTTGATGAGTGTAACTTAAAAAGATATAAAATATTAAAAACACAAACCAAAACTGGCCAGTTAAAGACTTAAAATAAATACATAGTCTGATGTTAAATGGGAATATAAATGTTGAGGCAGTGAAGAAAAAAGACATTAACGCTCGTTAGAGAGGGTGGTTGTTTGATGACAAAACAAAGAGTACAAAAAAACTGAGTACAATAAGTTTATTGGTTGAAAATGTCGCATTTTTCCATAAAAACAAAGAAAAGATTATAGCAGCAAAGATCTTTTGATAATAAGAATGTGAAGAATGGAAAAGAAGAGAGAGAAAAAACTCTAAATCACCAACTTAAAACAACAGATTGGATGCAAGAACGATTTGTACTATATGCTCGAAATTCATAGAACAAAATCGTTTTAATTGTTTCAAATATTACAATAATGAAGTTCATAATTTTCCAATTAGATTAGACTTGGAAATAGATAAATAATGGAACAGTAGTGTAAATATGATTTGATCAGTCCTGGTGGATACAGTTTCACTCCATCAGTACTGTAAACAGAATACTACAATGATGTAGGCGCTGATGTATAAAAATACATAACAAGGAAAATAGATACTTATCATATATAAATCTGTTGGGACAAACTTCACATGTTGAAACGACATTCACCTTGTGCAGGACTTCTGTGAAAGACACTGACGAAACAAGTTGGACTGATAATGATGAACGTCAGAGTTACTAGACCGTAGAAAAGTAATGTACATAACTATATATATATATATATATATATATATATATATATATATATATATAGAGAGAGAGAGAGAGAGATGGATAGATAGATAGTTGTCATTAGACTATTTAGTTTATCACATGATAGTAAATATTGATATTTTTGTTCGTTATTTAACTTACATGCACACAAATCACATTTATCTCATGCAATAAACATGTAATAACCTGAAATTCTTGCTATCAGTTTACGGTCATTTTAACATAATATTACAATTGTACAAATCAGTCACTAATTTTATTTGTTGTGGGGGATGAATGAAATAACCATACAGTGGCAATTAATGTAGCTCAATTATCTAACTGATATGTTAATTTTGTAACAGCGCTCCATAACATTGAAATTAGATTGTACTAAATAAAATCGGATTTGCCAAAGGATATAGTTTATTCTTACTGAAATTTTTCAGTGATAAACAGAACAATTTAATGTATTTACGAATACTTCGCTGGCTTTTTAAATTTAATAACAAAATCCAGTTAGTATATTTATACATTAAAGTAATGTATTGTAAGATAATTCAAACTTGATGTCACTAAACTTATCAACTTCAGAAAATGTAATCGAGGAAACTAGTTTAACAGTAAGAAGTATGGTAAAATGAAGTGATAATATCGTACCATTTAATCTGCCTATTATAGGGTGGGGGGAGATATTTATTGTCAAAACAACCCAGTTACAGTTAGTCTGGCCAAAATTATAATCACTAATTCTTAATAAACATAAAACCTTATGCTTCAGATAGGTAATCTATGGGAACTCTTCCGCTAAGATAATAGTAGAGATTTTCGTTTGATTAACGATATGACGGTATAAACCTGAACCTATATTCAACAAAAAAGCTTTTAAATTGGTCAATTATAGTGAACCCAACATGCAAGTAGTTATTTTGTGACTAGTAATTTACATGTGAATAACAAAAAACAAGAACTTCAGTGTTTGGAATCTTTTTAGTGCGAACCTGTAACAAGACGAGGATAAGTATGAATCTGACGCTTTTTTCCACATAAATGTGGACACAGAACTATGGTATGAGGAATATTCCCATCATTCTAACGATATTTGTATTGTTTTGTATTTTCTCGTTGTTATTATTGTTAGGGATTGCACATTGACCTGATTTCCTCCGTATAACCTTGTAGTTATTATATTTGGATTGCAAATATCAAACACCAGGATGAGGGTACACTCTGCTAACTAGTCCCAAATAGAACGAAATGCGTTTCCTGGATTCTACTGCTAGCCATTATCATCCACTATAATTAGTTTATACACAAATTTGATAGCAGAAACAAAAGCTTAGAGTATTAAGTCAAAAGACATCGGAAAAAAATAGTTTCATAATAGAGACGACAAACTCTTAAGATGGTACGATCAGCTAGCAGTAATACAAAAATAAGTCGTTTTCAGTTGTGTCAATATTCCATGATAATTTCAAGTCTTTATTCTACAATAAGTCCTGAACATCCAAATAAGTGTTACTATTCACATACATTAATATTGTGACTAGTTTTAATACAAATCTAAACCACTTCAGTGATTTTTAAAATATGCATGATTACTTAAGTTATATGTGTAAGCAGATATCCACGAGGGATAACCATATTGCTACATAAAACTGGAAAAAAATAGACCACTGCAATTGAACTCAGTACTGAGGTTGACTATGAAATGAGTGTAACCTTTGGAAAAGCAACGAATTGACAGAGATTTTGTGATGATAACAAGTCGAAACTGCTTGCAATAAAATAATCTGATTTTTGGAAAGTCCATATGAGAAGCTGCCAAAAATATCCTACATATGAAATATGTGTAAACAAATACAGTCATCATATACATTTAGACTAGAATTACATGTACGACCATCATCATGATCATCACAATCCCTTAATATCTGAAATATAATCAAATTCTGTGATCATTTTACGCACGTTAATGATAGAAGGAAATTTTTTATTTATTTAGTTTAACACATAGATATTGGTACAAGGAGGCACCAAATACATATGCGCCACACAAATCTCATTCGATATGTGTGAGGGCTGTGATACTGCCCGGGTGCCCAAACCGAAGCAGGTGGTTTTCTTAGGGGGCCACTCCCTGAGCCTTCGACCTGAAGGTCTGATCCACAAGGCAGTGGAGCATCGTAAGGAGATGCAGTCCCATGGAAGCCGGTAACCAACAATTGGTTCAGACGCCATTTGTCCCCGCAGGATACTGGAGCCCATGTGCACCATTGGTTTGAAATCCGGTTAAAGCTCCGGACATTCGCTTTTCGTCCTCTCATTTTCGTAAACAACACCCCAGACACGAGAAGGCAGTGAGCAGGAATTCCCTGGTAGAGGCTATATACGTGTGGCCATGTGAGAGCATTTCGAGAGGGAGAGCGGACTCTCCCCACTCTCGACCGTACCAGGGCATTTGAGGGCCTTATATAATCTTGTTTTCGTTTCACAGAGTGGTTTTCTTACAGATGATATGAAAAATAGAAACAGCCTTTAAAAAATACGAAGTATGAAATCATTACCGTTTCGAAGGTAACGCTCAGGTGTCTAATACAAGAAAAGGATGAACAACGTCAAAGCTTGTGGTTGACTTGTAAGCGACGACTGTGAGGTTATGGATATTGATCCACCAAGTATACGCGATCATTATTCTAACACCCTACATGCAACATTTCCAATTTTTAGATCGAAGTCAAACAGTTGGAGTTCCATCACTTAACTTAGTGGTAAACAGTAATATTCTATTTTAGGCAGATCGAGTCAACGGGATTAGATTAACAAAATTAGCCACTCATCATTTATTGTTAAATCACAACAAGAAACAAACTTCTAACGCATTATTACGAAACCCTGCTAGTAAGACAAGTGAAATGACCTTGGATTATATCACTAACTAGATGTAAGCGAAAATTATCAGCCATTAGATTTAAATTTAAAGAAATAATACTGAAAAGTGCTTAATATGAAAGATAAAGTGGTAAAGATTTTAAATAAGAAGACATTGGGGATGAATGAAAGGCTCCAAATATGTCGGGAAACAACTCTGCAGTTCATCTTCATTACTTATTATTCGTATTATTTTTGTTCTATGTCGTTGATGGATCGCGAAAATTACCTCTGAAGTAATCAATTTCAAGGAACAAATAACTAGAGGCATATAAGTCTTTGAAGATTATATTTATGTTTTAATACAATTTTTTGTGACACGCGATCATAATCAGTGAATCACAGCAGTAATGTAGCGATAAAAGAACACCAAACAATTGTTAACCATATTTTTGGTTATTTTCTTTTTATTAACCAAAGTATTACACAATTAACAAAAACTAACACATCAATCAATCATGATATTGAAGTAAATAACTGCTTTAGATTTTAATACTTAATTAAATTAAACTTACTCCCTTTTTATTTGATAAAGTAACTCGTTGGAATTGGCCATTTACAACATGATAAGCGAACATAAATGTAAAACTATCACCCTATATAATAAAAAAGAATAACGAATAAAGGACAAAACAATACAAGCAATATGGAAAATATCTTTAATAATCAGTGAAAGTGACAATTATTCACATTTTTGTTAACAATATATGACAAAAGTATTACAAATGTACCTAGGGGAATTAACGAATATTTATTCACAGATTGAAATCATGAGTCAGTTGAAGCTAGACCACCATGGAAAACCTGGAAGCACTGGACGGCCGTCTCGTCCTAGTATGGGACTCCTCAGCAGTGCGCATCCACGATCCCGCACCCCGTGGGATTCGAATCCAGGATCTACTGGCTTCGCGCGCGAGCACTTAGCCATTAGACCACTGAGCCGGCATCCAAGGGATGCGCACTGCTGAGGAGTCCCATACTAGGACGAAACGGCCGTCCAGTGCTTTCAGGTTTTCCATGGTGGTCTAGCTTCAACTGACTCATGATTTCAATCTGTGAAAATTTCTAAAATCTCCACAAACCCCTTCTGAGAATATTTATTCATTGATGTTAGCGAAAATTAAGACTTCGCGATTAACGGCAAACTTTGTAGTCAAAAACCACATGCATAGAACACATTAAAAGAACCTAAACAGGGATGAATGCTATTACAGAGTTAGTAATAGGCTGTATATACAGAATTGGTTTGGAGATTTGTTAGCTGTCATCATTTCCTGATCACAATGTAGAGTATGTTGTTTATACATAAGAATGAAGTGGAAAACGAACATGGTATTGAGAGAAGACAATACAGCAATGAACCATCAAATCGCTAAATCCTAATCAGGTTGGATACAAGAAAGAAAGAAATATTTAATGTTCCGCAAGTATGGTTTGAATCCTCGTGGTTATCCAGACCAATATTTGGAAACATGTAACATATAATATGTCTCCGAAGTGGAGTCCGCCTCAATTCACTGTTTGTCTGTAAAAAAAATTTACATTACTTATGTTGTGGCGAATCAATTGTAATTGACTAAAGGAGAACAGTATTACATAAAGAGGCATTAGATATTTAAAATTAACATTCTTTTTGCAATTACACAGTGGATATCTCAAGTGTACACGTGAACAAAGAATAACCTTTCAACATTTTTTTTACTTTTGCCTGAATAGAATTACTTTTTTGATTGACGATTAACGGTTTCCCCTTTCAGATGTTAGAATAGAATAGCATTTATTCGCATTTCTTTTCTATACACACACTTATGTAGACAAACACCAGTAATGTCAATGAAATAATGTTAAATCACATGATTGATATATTTCTATGATGCATGCAAGAAGCAATTAGCTAAGCATATATATTAGACCTTTCTTTTTAAGATAACCTCACTAGATATATTATCGTGGCTGATCGTAGTCAATAAATTTTTTACACTATCCTAAAAAAGTACTTGGCCAGTAACACTTGGTTTTAAATCGCCATAATGAAAAAAATGGATATTCATTTGTGATTTACCTTAACTACTAACTAACGTATTATACGGTTAAGTACATGGAGGTAACCCATAAAATGTCTGATAATTTATAGATGAGATTCAGATGAGTTATTCTCTAATGTAATACCAATATCATACGCTAAACGCAGTATTTTTCGTTTTAATCACATGATCTCTGTGTTTTGATACCACTTGATCCTATGTTAGCCAAATAAAGATATATGTTTGGTTTATATGCAATAGAGTGTATGAAATGAAACAGGTTGTTCATTTAATTTAACAACTATAAGGTTAGCGATGATTATCAGGATGATAGTATCATAGCAAAGAGATATACAACTAAATTTTTGAAGCTGATTTTCAACTTTAAATGACTACTGTTGATAAATATTATTAACGTAGAATATTATTTATGTAGTGAACGAACACTCAGGTGGGGAAGACCAATTTATTGTTTAATAAAAAATTACAGGTCTTCGTAAAATACGAAAACCATGCATTAAATACTGCATCTGCACATCTTCCATTATTTGGCTCTTACAAAATTCATCATTCCTTCATTCCCGTTGTTTTTACAATAACTCTCTGTTTACATTCCTGTTCTCTTCAATTCGATATTCTCAACCTTCTGCTGACAGGCATTCCAATTCTGATCGGTGTAACAAACTACGATATAAAAAAGATTCATATACTTAACACTAGATGACCTAATAAAAATGATTACTCATTAAAATTTCAATCACTTTACCGGCACTTCTCGATACAATGTAAGGAAAAAATACAATCATCACGCAATACAACGTTATAATAATGTATCTAACCAACTTCTAACGTTAATGGATAAACATCGAAGAGCGACCAGAACATCGTGAGACGTACGAATAATAACGATAATCGTATTATACTATGAACTGACTTAAACTTGGCAATGAAAACTACTGGATCCCAACTAAATGCCCACTATAATACCTCGATGACCTGGGTTCAATTCCAAAAGAGTCAATAAGTGAGGACACCTTAATAGTCCCATACTACGACGAAACAGCTGACCGATGTTGCTTAGTTTCCGATGCTACTCTTAAATATCAATTTGAGACGAATAATATCTAAAAAGCAAATTAATCTCCGCAATAACTATCATGAAAGATTTCGTAAAAATTGATTCATGTCACTAGCACTTCAACATTTTTTTAAAAACTATTCTATTCGCTCTACAGTAAGTAGTAGAAACAGAAACAAATGGTGAAAAACATACAGAAATTTTCCAGGGAGGAAGATGGTCTTTTCCTATCCATAAAATCACACACTACTGATAGCCAGTTGTACAAATGTAATAAAAATAATAATAGTGTGAGTGTACAACTATTTAGAATAATTTCTTACCTTCGGTTTGCATACAATCAATATTTTATCGAATAAAAATAAATATCTGAAAATTAGACAAAGAAAATAAACAGGAAATACAAATCTAGTGAGAAAAGTCAATAAAAACATTTTAGAAACACATATACACACATTTCACTGATTCATAATTCAATGTTTTGCGCTACATTTAAGTTATTGGTATCGAATACAGATTTACGTAGCCAACATTTAGTCACAAAGTTTTATATAAACTCAAACGATGCTACTCAGTTGCCCAAAAAGAAGACAGAGAAGAGGATGCTGATCTGCACAACCCAGTGAATGAAATTTACAATACCACATAAAAATTGAATAGGCCAAAGGATAGTAAAGTAGCCAATAACATCCTCCTTTTGATAATAACAGAAGTGCGAAGTCATAAAACTAAATCCTGACAAAATCATTCATCTATTGAACACCGTTATCAAAAAAGTGCAACATTTCCCAATGTAGTTAAGTGATGAGATTATACTTATTAATTGTTCCAATTAAACCATTAATTGACATTTCAAAGAAGAGAGCGGTTGGGGAATAGATATTAGTTACAGAACTTCTTAATGTGTTAAATAAAGGAATTTAAAATTAAGATGCACATATTAGTACTGGTTATAATAATTTATTTCATTTTGAATAATAAGTTACTTCCAACCTTTAATAGGAATAAAATCATGTGTAAAAACTTGTTAAAATTAACATTTTACTTGTAATCTGTGAATGTTTTTTGGATTATAAAATCTATCAACTTCGAGTAATCAATCTTATTTCATCATTATTTGCTGAAATTCATAATTTAAGAGAAGTGAATAATAAATGAAAATAATTTCGAGAAAATGGTTAGAAAACACTTGTTACAAATTATGTAGGAAATGAGTATTGACTGAGTACAAGAGAACATGCACTCGAATATAGTTTTTCTAAAGTAAACATTCAAGACCATAGTAAACAGACCATTTGAAAGTCTTTTTCTGATAGACTGATTTATGTATATAGACGATCGAAACTCGACTAAATCTTTAGCTTTGATAAAACCTAAAACTGAACTTTTTTACCCTTTCTAATCTACTGTGAGCTCAAATCGTATACCTAACTACGGTGTAGACGAAATGCACAACGATTTACCTCAAATATTTTACCGTTTCAATGATTATCCTCTTAAAAAGATTTCGCTTCGGCCAACTTAGTCAAATTACCAATCAACCCGTTGTCATCCCTAGCCAGTTTTGTTAAGGTTGGGTTTTGTTGAGATAAATTTATGCAAGCAACGTGAATAGATGAGATAATATAATGACTGGGAACAATACATTGTGATTGTATTATGATTGGGCGAATAGATGCAAATAACAAACTATGGAAGCTGTTCTGCGGTGAACTACCATAAATATTTTAATGTGTATTCATAAAATAATTGATGAATGGTATTTTTACACTAATCTAACTGTAACCTTTTATTTAACTCATTAACCATTGCTAGTTTTTTCCGGTCGTTAATTTCAGTAAATAATTCATTAACCTGTGTCAAGTCCCAAACTTGAAATATGAATATTCATTGTTTATAGTGCAATATGGCCTCCAAATTTATGTGTAATTAAGTGAGTCTTGAGTTCCAGTGTTAATTCAAATATATTACTTAATTTCGTCTTCTTGAACCATATTCTTAATGTTTATTACTATCATTACTATTAAAATTACTTCGACTTGTTTGCTCTCCTGTTTGATAATTGCATTTTGTTGAGCTGATGTAGTAGGGTTAGTTGGGTCAACGCACATTTGTGGAAGGCTTCAAATTTATTATAACTTACTGAATCATAATAAACCATAATTACTAATCGTTTAAACAGAGAAAATAATAACAGTACTAACAATTCCAAAACCGTTAAATCATAATGTAAATCATTTCCAAGAGCTTGTGGATGTTAGGGATTTCAACTTGTTAGTCATTATTGACATATTTGCACCCTGAATGGATTGCCTCGAAATCTCCATTTAATTACAAAATTTTATTAAAGTTGGATAGAGACTAGCAGTGAAATTCATGATGCATCTTTCATACTTACTTGTAAGTCGATTTGAGAAGTAGATTTATGGGTACGATATTATTATTAATGTTTTCATAAAACAATTCAATATACAAAATAACGTAACATAATCAATACATTTAAGGTATAAAATCGAAATTCATTGCATAACTGACTCTAGTACAATGTTATATTACCTAGTTTTCGCTTTGCTTTCTGATTCAGAAAGAACTTTCACTTCTCCATCCATATGCAAGTGCCCATAACTTGATAACCTTTTATCTGGAGGCTGAAAAATTAACAAATGACATAATATAACTGGAAATAAAACGTGATGGTGCATGTAATTCAAATTTACTTACTCAGTCAAAAGCAAGTTAGTGGGAAGTAATTATTTGCCGAAAATTATTGATATTGTAACTTTTGCGCTTATATATATAGGGAGAGAGATGCGATCAAATGAGAACTTGGATTATTAATTAAACTATTAGCATTACATCTGAAAACCACGTTTACATGACCTACAAAGTACAAGTATAATACCGATATATTTGAATATCTTTCTGGTATTTGAATATACCTAGAACGATTACGCTAAATTATGTAATAATGATGAACAGAAACATGTTATTTTTACTATTGTAGCCGAAAATGTGACGTAACAGAAATCTGCATTTCCGAAACATAAACACAGTAGTTCAACTGCATGAAGCTGATTATGAATACGCGTATCTAATGCTAATCCACTAAAACGTTCTCCTCGCGTTTAAATTGGCGCAATACTGAAATTGGATTAGAGACTAAACTAAGAGTATTGAAAGAAAAATAGACTAAGTTGTAACACCAAATCAGCAGGGCGAGATTAAATTGTTAAGATGAATACCAGATCAATAATAGCAATATAAGTAGTAGTAGAAAAGATTAAAGGCAGACAATGTGATTGGAGAAGAAAAGTTAAATTCGTGGAATATAAAGTACAAGACAATTTTCAGATCCAAGATGAAATAAAAAATAAAGAATGAATGTATCTGCGCTACTGTGACCGATTCTGAGTCATTTTATTGAACGTCTTCAACCAGTGATCAAGATAATCACGAGAATCCCAATCAGATAAATATCCACAACTTCATAAGAATTACTAGGACTTATTTGTAATAAATATTTAAAAACTGAGAGTTAGATTTTAAAAATTTCGATGATTAGTATAATTTCAAGTAATGATTTTGTTCAGAATATCGTAAACTGATTAATGCTGGAAATGCACATTATCACCAACCTAGTAGTCAACAGTTTAACGCACTTGTAATGAAAACTGTTAATCATGCTATGTTCGCTTTCTGGAGACGTTACAGATATTTATTGTTATGGAATCCTATACTATGATAAAACAACTAGGTGTACTACATGGTTTTCAATGGGCCACCAACTGATATCAGCTCATGATGAAAATCATCCACATATTAAACAAGTCACTGTGTGTAAATATATATTTGAAAGCATTCATTTAATACGAATCAATCCAATATTGCCTAAACTCTTTTTGGATTTACTTTATCCATGATATCTCTCACAAACAGAAACTATTCACTTATAACTTTAATGAATATTTTCTCGATATAATATCCAATATAATATTCAAACAATAAAAGATTTTACGAGTCACACGATGTGAACAAGCTATAATAAGTAAATGGATCAGTTACTTAATCAAGGTCACTTCATTTCACCTGCCTATTTACTGTTTGAATTCTTACGACCATCTATAATCAGACATTAAGAAATTTATCTTCGCATACAATTCAGTTGTCTTTTGTATACATTCAATATGATAAAGAATTAAAAGAATTGATTGCTAAGAATTTAATTTAATTGCATATCCCTTTACTAAATTCTAAAACTAATCATGAAAACTAGTGATTAATCAATCTTAATATTGTGAGAAAAAGTGAATAAAATTTTCATTTCTCTAATAAATTACGTAAAACTTATCAGGAAATAACAGAGAAGAATAAAAATTAATTTCATGAAATAGTTTATTTTTAGAAAAAAAAATTTTGTGATTATTTGAAATGGAACATTATACAAAGAAAACCAATAGTATTCATGAAAAGAATAAGATGATATTTATTTCAACACTAGACAATCGTAATTCATTTATTTCACGATTGATTTCCCTTATTATTGGTTTTTACTATGGCAAGATAAAATGAAACTGACTATATTCATCAGTTGAAACTGTTATTGTTCAATTAGATAGCATTGCAAAATTAGCAGTCACAGTTGTTTAATCATAATGATTATGTTATGATTCTCTTTTATTACAATCCAGCTATTAATATTGTTTAGTTTTCTTGGACACCAATTCACTCGAAAAGTCCCCAAATCAGAACACGGTTGACAAGAAAGAGATTATATTCCAAATAACAAGGTTAGATGGAAGTAAGGAGCACAATAGGAAAACCGTTAGTATATTTATAGTTTTTGCATGAGAAGATTCTAGAGTGTCCTCCAAGTATCGACTAGCGCTGATTGAATAAGAACTAGCTAATCAGCACGCGCCAACGCAATCGTCCATTGAGCACGCTTTAATCCCGCCAACAGATTATATGAATGAAATTTCTTTTGGATGCATCATTTAGTGTATTCTTCTTTTTAAGAAACATTAAAATAGCCTTCAATCTCTGATCATTATTTAATAAAGTAGGGTGCACAGCAAGTAACTTACCACTATATAGAAATAATTAACAGATTGACGAAATTCCTTGTTGTCTATCTATTATTTAGTGAATCTAGGCGCTGGTCTGTTTTTTCTAATGAATACGTTTCAATCCATAATTCTTAGTATGTCACATGATGTTTTTATAATACAGGATCATCTTTATTTCTATTTCACTGTCATTATTTTAAGCATAGACATAGACTGAATTTTCGAAGTTTGATCACACCAAATCACTTTTCAAGATCAAACGACCAATAAAGTCAATAATAAAAAAGTTGAAAAATTTACTATTATGACAATTATCAATTAGTAGATGATCATTTTATTAATCGGATGTCGTACGCAAATACATCATTTGATAAAAATTCAATCAAATATAATTAAAAGTCATGAAAATATCACACTACTACTACTCACCAGCATTATTTCAAGTAAACTGTCAAGGTAACGAAAGAAAGAAATAAAAGATATGGAGCAGGTAAAAAATCAGCACATAAAATAGAGAAAAATGACTAATTTATATAATAAATGAATTGTTTTAAATTGTCAAAGCCACCTTAGGTATCATTGAAATACTGAATTTAGTTTGATGTATGAACAAAAGAATAAATGACAAATTGAATTTTCCATATGATAATGGCTATTTGGAAGTAAGCCAACAATAGACATATATGTGATATCATGAAAACAAACTTTAAAGAAATGAGCGATGAGAATTTATTCACACACATGTCTAATTAACTTAAAGAGATGATAATTGGTGTGAGAGTAGATTGAAAGAAAGCTATGGGGCGGTCAAACCAAGGCACGGAGTCAGTTAATGAAGATGCGAACCGTTGGACTGAGTCATGCAGACTACCTGGTTAGGGTATGAGTGATAATCATGATCAATGGTTAGACTTCGGGTGACTTAGCTCAATTACAATCACCCTTCGTCCTCCCTTAGATTTTAAGTCTATAAATTATCTCATAAATTTTTTATTCCTTTAGTCTATATTTTCTAGAACCATTTGTTCGCCGCCTAATCTATTCTACTACCAATAAAACTGTTACTACCTCTGATTGTTATTGAAGCGAAATTTAACAAATGCTGTAAAGTACTCACGAATTTGCAAAACGAATATAAACTGTAGTATTCTAACCTATCATTATTACAGTTTAAAGATTCAATATGATGTATAGTGATTATATATGCGCTCACACAAAACATATCCATAACTGAAATTCAAATGACTAATTAAAAACCGATTGTTTTAGGCTTGGATTATTTATCCAGTAAATTGCAGTGATTTAAGTGATCGACCCTGGATTAAACCAATGGTATAATTCTCTATGAAAAAAATATTTACATTTTAATATCATAGATTATGATTCCTGAATTATTACAATTAAAAGTTAATTTAAACTCGCATTTGACGTTTTTGTATGATTAGAACCTATTGAATCGGTAGAATTACTCCATATAACCCTAAGTATCAATCGAACACATTTACAATTATAAGGTCAAAACAACTATGTTAACCAGGCAACATATATAGATAATAATTTATTATTTAACAATCACAAGTAACCAATAACTCATCAAGAAAGGTGAAGTTTAATTAATAATCTAAAAATGGATTGAATGGTTATAATCTATAGATTAAGTGAAAAAACAAACCTGGATTGAATTTGATCAATCGAGCTAATCGTGTCAAGATCTCGTTTAACATCGTTGATAGATAATGCAACTTCACGCATAGCTTCGTGAGCTACAGTTAGATCAGGACGATCATAGTGATCAGCTGGAGTGAGTTTACATAGATGCTGAAATTTAAGAAAAGTACTTATTTTATTCATTGGAACTGGTATAGTTTATTGATCTGAAAATGCTTTATGACCAATAACAGTGAACCCAATAAAATGTGTTCAAATGATTCAGTAGTTGAATGTACTTTCTAGAAGACATCAACGTTTACCGAAGAAAAACTGAAAACAACTGAGACATTGTTTGAGTTTTTACTATAACGTAGGGACAATGTAAGAAATAAGGCATACTCACGTTTTTTTATAGTAACAGTTATGAATCCCATACACTTGAACACAATTTTGATCATTATTATTATTATTATTATTATTATTATTATTATTATTATTATTATTATTAGTAGTAGTAGTAGTAGTAGTAGTAGTAGTAGTAGTAGTAGTAGTAGTAGTAGCAGTAGTAGTAGTAGTAGTATTGACAAAATTGTAAGTCATACAGAAAAAATTCAAAGCTATCAAAAAAATCCAGATATTTAATAATTAGATTCCAGGCAAACAAAGCAAGGCAAATTACTAGTGAGTTGATAACAATAATCTAGTTGAAGGAGTTTTGGGGAGATTGTTTTAACTTGTAGGCTGGATTCGCCATAGATTACTCTCAGTCGGAACATCAAAGAAAATCAAGGGGCATTGAACAACTGCTTTGTTCTAGTACAGAGCTCGGAATCACTCATCCACTAGGCTCTTCATATTGTGAATTGGCGCAAGATTTAAAATTTTTAAGTTCGACTTTTAGTGGAGTCGTGAATGTGCAGTGATGAGGTCAATATTCATGATGAATACAATCCACAAATTGAGCCGATCTCCTCAAAACCACCTAAACTAAACTACTATAATAGTCAGTTAACCAGTGACTTCAAGATGTTCCTAAAGTTAGTGACTGTTGGAATTCAGACAAATCGTGAGTGCAACAATTAATTGTAAATAACTAAGGTAATACCCTAAATCCGAAGACGATTTGATACGAGACAATATAATTAAACTGAATATCAACAGGTGTTAACAGAATACAAACAGAAATTTGACTGTAGTCGATTTACTTGTCATATGTTTTACATATTCAATCCAAGGTTAACTAATTTGATCACTAACCCGAACACAAATATTTCATGATATGATAAAAAGTTCCGCCTTTCTAAGTCAGTCTAATACTCGGACAATATCACATGATTCAACTGAATTACAAGGTACATATTATTGTACCTGGCATCAAATCATACTCTACGTGTGGGGATTAGTAGTAACAATCGACTTCCCAAACCGAAGTAGGCGGGCTGGACTCGAACCAGCAACCTAGTAGTTGAAGGTCGAACGCCTTAACCACTGAACCACTGCTCGGGTATCAAAAATCATATAAAATTATTCGAATGATTTAACCAGTGAAAAAAATACCGAAAGTGTCAAGATATATGAAGAGTTATACTTGTACGCATTTACCTTGAGGGGTTTAGAAAAAATTAAGAATGAAACATATTGCCCAGAAAACGCACTTATTCACTTCTTTTTACCTAAATTTCAAACGGCATTTATTAGTATCAGGAATCTGACGCTTGATATTTCAATTAGTTGTGGGAAATTAAATCAGAAGAAAACAAATCTGTAGAAGCAATAAAATAAAATGTTGTGTAATACTAAAAAAATAATAACTTATCAAACACACAAGCTCACCTCTAACAGAAGATGATATTTCAAAACGCGTTGGATTGGTATTGTAAGTAATTCAGCCAAAGCGAATTTATTGTATTTCTCTGAATTTGACTGACATAACTATGAATGATTTGTTTAAAAAATGGAAAATGAATGGACCATTAAAACAAATCAAAATTAGAGAGATCGTATAAGTATATCTTAGATACTTTTGTCCTATATTCCCGGAACATTGAAAAAAACAATGATTATCTTTGTTTCATAACGAGGATGTCAAATTTAATCTTTACGTATTTCAGTAATTACATGAGTTTTAACCTAGTCTCCAAAAATTGAGATGTCAGTTAAAAACGATAAAATACTGATTATTTGGGTGATTTTAAGTGAGGAATATTAATCAACCAATTCAACATTCTTCTGGAAATAACCGTCACTAGTTTTTTAATGATGTCATGAATCGCAAGTACATTTATAAAGGTGTAGGGTTAAACACTTAAATCTTGTTTTGGTATTTCAAGGCATTCCTCGAATATAAAGGGAATAACTTACGATACAGGGATCCACAATGGCGAAAACAATACTGTAATTCACCATCAAATGACATATAAAACCATTAACTCAAAACTTATTTTCGCACTTGCTGAATCATCGAATTTTTGCATTAAAGTCCCAAAGTAAATACTTACGAAACAACTGGTTAATTTTAAGGCAGATATCCGTCTACGGCAGGAAATCTACGAGTTGCAAAAATGATCAGAGCGAAAACAGTCATTGATATGGAGTAATTTATTTTATTAAAATCGATGTTCCAAGCCGTTATAGCGACTCACGTGTAATTGAGTTTATTCTCATTTAGCTCAGTTAAGCCCTTTTGCAAACTTATTTAGCAGACAGTCATCCACACTATAACAATTTATTGTACCCTTGTTATTATTGTGCTTGTATGAAATACGTATGCTTGAACATTGTTTAGCGCCTACGCATATATTCATCCTGCTAGCTTCATTATTAACCGCTTAATCTATTCGATGACTGATCCATTTTCATATATATATATATATATATATATATATATATATATATATATATATATATATATATATAACAAATATTACAATTTAATCTCATCACAAAATCCACATAATCAGATTCTCTATGTAGCTATCCAAATCTGACAAAAAACTTACCAGTCTCTTTTCCACTACATGATGTTATCATAATCTCTTTCTAAATAATAATAACGACTTTCCAACATATGTTGGGATTCCATGTCGTAAGTCACTTACACAGAAATACTTTAAAGCAATGATTCGGTTACTTAGTTTAGAACTTTCTATGTTTTGGCATTTGGGATTGGTTGATGTTTCATTCACTTCAATATGGACCCAAACGTTACCTTTCACAATATCCACATGTATCGATATGTTGTTCCATCAAGTCTTGAAACTAGATCTCGCATTATCTATAACCTTCGAAGTCAACCTTGCTTTTCATCCCGTTGCTAAAAAAGATAATCATTTAGAAATCTGTCCCTTATATGTTACTGTTGTAATCAAAAGAGTAGCTTGCACTACGGAAGCAAAAAGTTATAACGGTGTAGTGGCTGTGCTTCGATAACTAATCACCCTCGAACCGTTATCGTACAATCTTCAACGGTGTTTGAAATCAGAAGGTGAAAAGAAGCAGCTACTACAGTTTATTTAGCAGATAATTCGGACCAGACAGCAGAGAGGCAAAATGGATGAGCAAGCTAACTACGATTGTAGTAGTAGCAGTAACAGTAGTAGTAATAGTAGTGAGTGCAAGGTGAATGTAAATGTATATATATATATATATATATGTACATTTACATTAGTCGGAGTAGCAAATCTTTACATTGTTTGAATCACGTACCAAAGATAAGAATGTTATCAGAGTAATAATAAAACCTATACAAAGTAAGTCGTACGACTTAACCATAAAAAATTAGTCGATTGTGATGGATATTGAATCCCAATCATAAGTAAATAGGTTTCGGACCGTGACTACACTAAGAAAATTCATGACCCTGAATCCACCTAGACTTTACAGTTTAATCAATAAAAGATGAGTTACCTGGGTTCGCTTGCTCAATGTGCATCTACAAATTCAGCCGCTCCTGTTGAGATAGCTAAATCGGGAGTACTACCAGGTAAATTAACCAAAGAATGAGTAAACATCTCCTAGCTTGGTTTGGACAGACAAAAATAATACTTAGTTCTAGCATGACACACCTGGTTGACAGTGGGTGAATGGTGAATAAAGCTGAATCGTTTCTAGTGATCTATCGCATAGCACAAGTTATAAGGATCTGAACCTATAACAAAAGTTTATACGTTCAGAAGAAATTTGTGACACCTCTCTCCCTTTCTTGGTCGAATGTAACTTAATACACGACTTTACTAATTTTAATATCCTGTATTTATTTGTTCTTTTTCACCTTTTTCCGTTCATATTCTTCAATATCTAATCATTTACATACTTCTTATTACTTAATTTTAATGACGCTTTGTGATTATTATTTTTAAGATCTATTTATTCAAGTGTAACCTACCTCCTATGTTGAATTATTGACTAGAGCTTTTATTATTTCATTATTCTTATTACTAGTACACGTGTCTATCTACTATTAAGTGGTACTTTCTACCTATCATGTGGTTATCCAATCTATTTGACTGTGATCATATTCTCATAAATCACCTCGATTAGTTTAAAATTCTCATAAAAATATTCATGTATATTAGGGTGAAGACTAATGACGATTAAATTGAAAGTAATGCTGTTCGCTTAAACGTGTTGTTCTAACTTTAGATTGTTCAAAACTCACTCGCATTTCCTATTGATCCATACATCAAGGAATGTTTAACAACAAGAGGTTTTGAATATAGTTCAAAATATAAAGAGATTTCGTAGTCAAGCGCTGTTAATACAAATAGGATTACTAAATAGTCATCAGTGCTATGCTCTATTGAATTCAGTGGAGTGATGAATAAAAAATAACTAAAAACTAAACGATACAATATTCATCACCATACAACATATAGCAATGGAATATGTACTTCTGCGTAAAGAACATTATTGATAATGCTAAATACCTTCAGTTCAAGACCCAGGTATCTGATAAAAATAAATAAAACATGTAAGAAGTACTCTCACGCGTACACAAGGAGAAAGAAAATGACAGTACTAATTATCATAACTTACTTCTATTTTGTTACGTTTTTCTACATCATTTCGCATAATTTCATAAACTAAATTTTGAGCATGTTGTAAATGACCACAATATTCTCCATATATGAGAAGATTATCTCGAGTTTTAAGAAAAACATCACTTAAACTAAGGAAATTCACAGTTGCACTAGTTGCCAAACTCAGATTACTTAAAAACTCTCTATGAATAGTATGTAATTCCTGGATAAATTAATAAGAAAAGAAATAAAACAAATCTTATAGTATCAAAGTAATACAATGACACATCATAATATTTGTTTCTCACATTTAATCGCGTACATTTACGCACACCAAAATAGTCACAGTTTCATAAATATGAATAAATAACTTTGAACTACGAAAGTTATAAATAGAATTACACTGGGATAATAGCATAATCATAGTACTTTTAACGAATGAAGCACATTTGTAAAGTACATAAAAATTAAATTCAACATAGTGGTATCACAGAACTAATTTATTTAAGGACTTTTTATGTTTAGTATACACTACCAATGAAGTAATTCAGGCTTAGGAATATTAAGCACCTTTATTCTTAGTTTAATACTATTCAACAATACAAGCTTTTCACTACTTTCATAGATGAACGTCTTATCTTCAAGTTTCATGGTAAGCAAATTAACTTTATTCAGCCCAGTGAGATAAACTTGACTATTCTGAAGTGTCGTTAAGGATGATCAGTCTAAGACTGGGGTAAAGATACGGGAATTAAATCCTTACCAAAACTCAATTAAGTTACCAGTAATTATAAAAGAGATAAAAACTGGTGGACATTTAATCATGATTCAACACACCAATTACAAGACGCCTTCTATTGAAAACTCAAAAAGTGCATGTAATACTCCTAGTTTTCAAAAAATTTTCAATTATGCTTCGGAGAGGCGAAACCCAAGCTACGCATAAAGAGACGTCATATATTAGCCCTAATTAGTAGATTTGTAGTTTTTATCAATAACAGTTTGTATATTAAAACCATCACAGATTGCCCAATTACAAATTAGTTACTGTGTTCATGGAAGTCTGATCAGCCCTAATGGGTTGGTGTCTGACGAAATCTCAGCACGGATTCGAAAAGCTCGTTTGGCTTTTGCCAACTTACGTCACCTATGGCGAAGGCGAGATATCCGTCTATCAACAAAAGGACGAGTATACTGCGCGGCAGTCTGTCCTGTTTTAATTTACGGCAGCGAAACATGGCCATTAAGAGTAGAAGACACTCGTAAGCTACTAGTATTTGACCACAGATGCCTTAGAAATATTGCTCACATCTGCTGGGATCACCGGCTAAGTAATAGTGAAGTTAGACACAGTATATTAGGGAATGATGGTTAATCAGTGAATGAGGTTGTGAGTCTTCATCGACTAAGATGGTCAAGCCACGTGTTACGTATGCCTGAACACCGATTACCACGACGTGCAATGCTGACTAGTGTTAAGAATGGTTGGGAGAAAGTTAGGGGCTGCCAAACCAAAACGTAGCATCAGTGTTTGAAGTCACTAACTTCTAGTCCTAGCCATGTTGATAGATGCAGACTACTTGGTTGGGGTCCGCGTGACTATCGTAACCAATGGTTGGAGACTCTTGATGGCATGGCTCAGAATCGATCACAATGGCGTCGGTGTATACACTCTCTGTCTTCCCTTAAACTAAGAGATTAAAATCACTTCATATCTTTCTTTCTACGAACTAATTCTTTCTTCCTGTACTATATCCTTATTGCAATCTTTCTTTTATATGTTACCACCTCTGAATTAACTACCTTTATGAATCCGGTGTCCATCTTATTGTGTTAATGAGGTATGGCAACTTGGACCGATGCATATATGTGCCTGGTCCTACGTTGTAACTGACTGACTGACTGACTTAGTGTTCATAGCTAACCGCTTTGACTGCGACGGGGAAAAACGGCTAGGTAGCTAGCGCATTCATATCCCCAAATGGCTTGTTTCACTCTTTTGCAACAACTAGGGATCATATGGAGCGATGGAGGTTTAAATGAGACATGCTTAGTAGTTCAGCCTCATAGTTAAGAAATATAGTGCAGTGGATCAATAATTATAAGATATTCGATTTAAAATCAGAATGAGACTCAGATTTTCTCTCAATTTTTATTTTGAAATAATAAAGTGAGTTGATGAAGTAACAAAATCCTTGAAAAGCGATGAGTTGTAGCGCTGAAACTTTTATTCAGGTATATGTTATTTTGAATCAAGATTATTATTCGTAATATACGGAGAAAGGAATGTCTAAAACTACACTCAGATCTGGCCAATTCGATCTCTAGTATGCTATATTTTTGCTGAAAATCGGTGGAAAAGAAGCCCAGTTTCACACATGAAGGAATAACAAAACTAACGTATATGCAGAAACAAATGACAAAGATAAGTGAGGAAACTCTTTCAATCAAAAGGGAAAAATACTCTGAAAACCTTATCTAGGTACTAATAGAATAATAAAAAGTAATAAAATTTTGGCACAGATACAAAAGTCCTACTTAAATTTTTCGAACTCTGCCATATGTGAAGTTGAGATGCACTACCGAAGAATGGGTATGTTGTCCAACAATTTACTTTGTATTGATTTGTCACTGTAAAAAACGACCTAGGGACTAGAATTTAAGTTGCCAGTGAAATGGATGCATAACCACGATAGCCTCCTACTTACTCTGCTGACTAGCATAAGAGTTAGTGACAGGGGGTAAGAAAAGTCATACTAAGACACAGAGTATTACTCGTAAGCACTTTAATTTAATGTTACCAAAACTATACGTTCATTTTGGAGTAAACGATGCATCTTAAAAATAGAGTAGATGTACTGAGAATGTTTATTTTTCACGACACTTAATTGTTCTAGAGAACAGTGCCTCAAATTACTATCCAAAAAACCATATCATCTTAGCACGCTAGTATCGTTATTTTGAAAAATTGGTGAGTAAAAGCAAGTGAACTGAATATTTTCGAATTTCTACATAATAATTACCTCAATGTACTTGAAAATCTCTTCAATTTCGTTGTGCGAAAGAACTCCAATAAGCGGATGCTTGTACTTCTAAATTGCGATATTAATTAATAAATAATTCAACTTTCTATTCTACCTCAATTAACATTTTCAACACATCTACGTAATTTTTTTCTGTATCAACTATTTCGCGAATACAATACGCTCGTGCTGTTGTTGGTTCAGAGTCCAAATTCTATGTTGACAATTTGGAATAACAGTTACAAAAGGAAACATAAAAAATTACTAGACGAGATTTTGAACCTTGATACACCACTGTATCATACAGTTTTTCTTTATTTTCCTCTTCCATTTGAGTATAATTTGGTTTTCCAGAGTCAGGTAATTTATTCCTAAAATGATGTATTATAATAATGAAAAACAATAATGATAGAATTTTATTATCTACATTGCAGCAGCGATTTCCTCAAGATTATTATAATATTCATGAGTTGATTGTAGCTTTGAATTTTCTGGTGGAAAACCACTATGTTTGGAAATAAACGACAGAAGAAATAAAAGACATACGGTATTCCAGTTAACTGTGCTCTTCTTGAGTATGATAATTTTGATAAAGTTGCAATCGCTTTCCCAAAATTTTTAGCATGATAAATATCACCAGGTTGAAATAGCAAATTTCTGGGAATATCAAATTCTTTTTCACATAACTGTGTAAATAGTCGAAGATTTTGAAAACATAAAAACTGAGAATTTTGTGGCATATGGCTAAAATCTTTCATCGATCTTATATCCAACTCATGGTTTGATAATGTACTTAAAAGATGGCATAAAGCAACTCCGTCCATTAAGGCCTGAACCAAGTGAATCGCATTACCATCTGGCCCCAGAGCCGGATGATCATCCGGGATAACTTGACATCTATTTAACCATTCAGCACACTGTCTCCAATCATCTTCCTCTTCCATAATAGTTTTCAAATTTACTACAAATAACACATCGAAAGAAGCAATAATTTGAGCTAAAAGCAGTTATATAATCATGGTAGCAACAAAGAAAGATCAGTAATACCCCTAAAGATTATATTCGAGATTAATGATCTTAAAAATGAAAAACTCGTCATAATTGGACAATTATGATAGTCATCAAGCAAACTGGAGGGTGCACATGCTTACTCAGAGTGGCCCTTTTCACAATTTCGTGTTGAGTCTATTATATAAAGCAATTTGTGTAAATATAGTACTTTAATCAGTCAGTCAGTCAGTTACAACGTAGGACCAGGCACATATATGCATCGGTCCAAGTTGCCATACCTCATTAACACAATAAGATGGACACCGGATTCATAAAGGTAGTTAATTCAGAGGTGGTAACATATAAAAGAAAGATTGCAATAAGGATATAGTACAGGAAGAAAGAATTAGTTCGTAGAAAGAAAGATATGAAGTGATTTTAATCTCTTAGTTTAAGGGAAGACAGAGAGTGTATACACCGACGCCATTGTGATCGATTCTGAGCCATGCCATCAAGAGTCTCCAACCATTGGTTACGATAGTCACGCGGACCCCAACCAAGTAGTCTGCATCTATCAACATGGCTAGGACTAGAAGTTAGTGACTTCAAACACTGATGCTACGTTTTGGTTTGGCAGCCCCTAACTTTCTCCCAACCATTCTTAACACTAGTCAGCATTGCACGTCGTGGTAATCGGTGTTCAGGCGTACATAACAAGTACTTCAATCATGGATTCAACATTAAGAGTGACGTAACGTACTGCAAATGAAGCAACCAATTTTATTCTTATCTGAATAGATGAATATTAAGTAAAATAACAGGACTGTCTGTCACTTTAACACAAACAACTAACTAGATCTACGTGTAAAAAAAACCAGGTATAAGGATAAAAATTGAATATGATTGGCAGCTTGTGACTAGATACTGACACTCAAGTTATCAACTGAAAAATGCAGGACTAGAAATTAGATTAAATGGTACTGAAGTTAATGACGTACAAACATAGCTGGTGATATATAGCAGACCAGACACTAGGAAACTAGCCATACTGGATATTATTTAGAAGTAAACAGGTTACATATGAGGAAGTTTTAATTCCCCACTTTTTATAGCAAGTGTCAAAACAATTTGGTGGTTTTTTTGAAGACTTCTTCACTGTCAGAATGTGGAATCTTGAGCGCCTATCACCATGAAGATAGAAAATACTGCACTTTGCAAGACATAACGATAGTCTTAATGACAAGACTCTTGAATCCAGGAAGGGGCAACGGAAAGCAACACATGCTAAAGCGTACCTACTTTCTTTGTCTACACCGTGTATTGTACAAACAACGCCTCTACAACAGGTAACAATATCTATTATTGTTGTCTGACATATCTAAAGTTTGAAGACCTAAACTTTCCTCTTCTTTCTTCATCAATCAACACGCAAGCACAGCCTTAATGCAATAAGTTGTAACTGTTCCTGACTAATTGTAGATATGTGTTTATTAATTCAGTAACTCCAAAAATCTTTAGTTTGATGAAGACTCATAGTTACAGGTCAAACGTTAACACTAAATGCTAAAGCCATGGAAAATTTTATATACAAGAATGGCTTTGATTAGTTTTTAGACGAAGTTGTTTCATTAGTTCAAAACCAATTATTCATAATCAACACGAACCCTTCCACAGATGTGTATCGACCCTTGTCATATTATATCAGTAAGGGATAAATTAGCAAGATATGTGGCAAGAAAGTCGAAGTAATGGTGCTCACAATGTCAGTGAGGAAGACTAAATATTAGATAATATGGTTCAAAAAGAAGGAACGAATCTAAGGAACATAAAGCATGAAATAATATTGAATATGAAGACCTAGGAAAAGAGAATGCGTATTAATTAAAGGCAGTGATCAATCCTGAGCCATATCTTGATGACTCCAACAAATGATAGCAGTTCTAGAGCGGACTCCAACCTGATATTCCACATATATCAATACGGCCTGATTGGACAGTCACTACCGTTGTGGACTGATGTCATGTTTTGGCTTCGCCGTCCCTAGCTTCAGCCAACACGGACCATAGAAGACAGTGGTTGGACATACGCAGCACACGTCCAGACACCTCAATCAGTGAAAATATATCACCGCATTAACCAACTTATTTTCTTCGTCTAGTGCCCTAGTTCTAGCCCTGACAATGCTTACTCACTTGTTTCACGACAAGTTGGTAATGCCTCGAAAATACCTAGGTTAAACTCCAGCAGCTTATACATGTTTTCCAGTTCACGAGCCATTTTTACGACCACATTAATACACAGTGAACTGCTGCATCGTCTCAGAAAATAGACGTCTTGCCTACTTCATGAGCGGTGTTGGAAAAAGTCAAGTAAACTTTCTGAATTTCCTGAGATTTTATCAGCCAATAATAAATTAGCAGTGGTGAAACGCTGACGACAATTTGAGTGGTAAACGAGACCAACTATTTTACTAATACAGATCAGTAAGTCATGATACAAATCAATCCCAAAGTAACATTTTGCAATTAGGTAGAAGAAAAAGAAGTCTAAAGACTCGTATTTGATGCTCCATCGCATATTTAAACTGTTTCAATTATGAGTAGTCTTTACACAATCTGATACCAAAGCCAAAACCCGGAAGAGTACTTAATTACACTACTGATGATGTAAGATGACAAGAGCCAAATACCTTATATTTCCGGACTGAACTTTTATCTGCCATCATCTTAATAGCCACAATGAGAGTACCACTATAAATAAGTTAGTCTGAGACCCGAACCGTCTTCAGCCCATCGTGACCTTTGTTGTTTCTTCGAGTCATTACATAAACCCCAGTTAGATTTTGAGGATCCAAACGGATACGGTGAAATTATTGTCGCGCACTCAAAAATCATTTTTGAAAACCCACCGAAATAACTGAGTATAACCGAACCACTGTAATGGGATCGCTGGTATCTAATCGTTATTTATTTATTTTAACAGATATTGGTACAATTAGGCACCAAATACATATGCGCCACATGAATCATCCGGTTTATGTGAGGGCTGTGATACTGCCCGGGTGCCCAAACCTGAAGGTCTGATCCACAAGGCAGTGGAGCAACGTAAGGAGATGCGGTCCCATGGTAGCCGGTGACAAACGACTGATTTATACGCCATTTGTTCCTTCAGAATACTGGAGTCCATATGCACCATTGGTTTGGAATCAGGGTTTCCCAACTCCCCTAGGTGGACTCTACGTCCACCGACCCGGTTAAAGCACCGGACGTTCGCTTTTTATCCTCTCAATTTCGTACACAACACCGCCACGAGAAGGCAGTGAGGACTTCCCTGGCAGACGCTATATACGCGTGGCCATGTGAGAGCATTTCGAGGGGGAGAGAGGACTCCCCACTCTCGGCCGTACCAGGGCATTTGGGGGCCTTTTTCCTACATCAATCAATACAACATCTAATCGTAGATTTAAAAAAATATGCTCCCTTCTTAGATTTTTCTTCCGATGAGCTTGACTGAAACATTTCAGAAATCTTTACGGTTAGTCATTAAAGCATTTGAACTTTCCAATGACTGAATTTTCCCAGCACATTATTTCATAACCCTTCAGATTTTAATATCCCGATTGAGGACATAAATATTGACTGACAATCCACTGCTGTTGTTGTTTCAAAGTTTATAGCAACAGAAAACATATATATTGCATCAGTCTAAGTTAATAAGCTTCTGAACATATCACGAGGTAACCGATAAAAAGAACGAATGTGATAAAAGGAATCGAGAAAGTAGGTGTCACTGAAGATTGTAGTATCAGAAACTACCAATTTATTTAACATGTGAAAGAATGTAATGTTAAGGAATGTTGCGTACATCAACGATCTGGGAAAATTTGGAACAAGCTAATTAAAGGTCTTAGATTTATTAGCGATTTCTATACCATAAGAAAGAACTAAGACAAACTCCAAGTTATGTATCTAACGTCCAGTGAAATCAAGTAAAATAGAAGCTTACATCGTAAAATATGAAATTTCGAACGCTTCAAAGATTAAATTATTGAAGCCACTAATTTTTAGCAATCTCTATGGTTCTGGTCAGACATTTGTGCCCGCATATTACTCACCTGATGCCCTCAAACTAATCTACTAATTGGCTAAGTCAAAATAATATAACTATTCCTAGAGAATGCAAATAATCCTTGCTTTTCTAATCTACCACGGTTTCGAGGACTTACATTTTACTAAGCGGGAACATGTTTTGAAAAGCATGCCTGGTTCGCCTAGCACACTGACTTCATTTCAACGTTGATAGTCTACAAATCGATTATGTACAAAGGAAGTTTTAGCGATACGTTAGGTCTCGTGAACAGCAAACTACTGTACAGAATTCACGTTAGTTGGACGGTAGGATTACGCATTCTGATACAAAACGAGTAGTTTTTTAACGCATATATAAACAAAGTATATGCTTTGCTTCAAGAAGCCTCGAGTATTTCATGCTACCTGAGTAGTGTAACCACGTGTTTAGGTGATCGTTTCAGCGATAAGTAGAAATTTTCAAAGAACTATGATCAATAACCTTCGTTTAGATAATTTCAGTATAAAAAACTCATTGTATCCCGATTTTCGAATCGCTGACAACCCTAGAGGAGTGAGTCAGAAGCACTGACCATAAAATTTTGAAGATCTGGATAATAATATGCACCAGATTATTCAACGAAATAACGTCAACTAGATTGCTGTTTTGCATTTACCTGATTAACGCCGTAAAGTATCAAGGACAAAAAGAGCTCAGTTTTGAGACCTTCAATGCGAAACGAAAAAACAAAGAAAACCAATGTATGTTAATCGCTATAAAGAATAAATTAATATGTTTTCAATTCCACAGTGAATGCAATTGTCGAATTACAATTAATATACGAAATGAAATGGTTTAACTGGCTCAAATAGTTATCTCCAGTTTTAAATTATTCCCTGAACTTTGTAGCACTGTGAAGGTCCAGTCTCGTTTTAAATATATCATCAAAGAATGCTGATATTACGTGTTCTGGAAGGGGATTTCAGTAATTCACTACTCTGTGAGAGAAATGAAGCTCTAGACGTAAACGACCTAACATCGATTTTGAACCTCCTAAAAAGCCCTCTCAAATTATCAGTCCTAGACGGAAGGAAAAAATAAGGCATATTAATACCAACGTCATTGTTCAGTATATGGTAGGCCAATACTAGATCATCTTGTACTCTACGGTAAGATAACGGAAATAATTTGAGGTGTCTCATTCTGTTTTCATAAGATAGGCCAGAGACACATTTTACCAGTGTTAATATTATTTTTCTATACATCTATATATCACATTCTTACATTTTTTCGTCATTATAACCAGTGTTACCCCCGGACACTCTGAGGGAAGCCATGTGGAGATAGACCTGACAAGCTTATTTTGTAGACAGTTTTTAATAGTGTTTGTATTTATTTTGTCAATCTTTCACTGTGTGTATATTTATCATTAAATGACTGTACCTGTTGTTTTAGTGAATTACCACGAACACGCTTTCCGTTGTGTTATTGACATAGCGTGACATACTGTTGTTTGCTAACAAATATATTGATATACACACATACCTGATTCTACTTTCGCTTGTGATTGAGCTAAATGCACTCTAAATCAAACATTATCTGCACTTATAGACTGTAAGTCGGAATATATCATACCTAACATCGGTTTACATTACTGGAGAGTCCAACAACCTGAGCGGAATTACCGAACATTTATAATTGTGGATTTTCAGTACCAGACCCAATCCGAATACACAGCAACTTGGTGAACTTAAGTAAAGTCCCAACTTTTCTGTTGTATTTGTAACAATTAACCTTATTATTCACTCCTAATAACTTGGTTAATACTTTCTCACGTTCATATTTGTCTGGTCCACCACACAATTTTAGTCCCTTGTCATTGGACTCGTTCCTGCATATCCGTCTCATACTTGAGACAAAGACGCGCTAAATGATATCTCGCGAAAGTCGGGTATACTACTCCAAACATTTCTTTTTATAATTGTTGAAAAGACCTACGAGTAGCCCATAATAATCAAAAGCCTTTCGCAGCAGCAGCTCTGTATTTGCTCATAGTTTTTAGGTAGTTGTTTATTATGACTCCTAAATCTTTATAGACCACAACTTTGGGTAACATAATTCTAAGTATTGTGTAGTGACATGAATCATCATAGTCATGCAATTTCATCCCCACAATCTTGCTAGAACTCGCTTCTAATGACCGTCTGTCCATCCATGCCACAAATGAGCTGATATCATCCTGTAACACTATTCTGTCTTACATACTGTGCATGGGTCTCCAAATCATTCTCGTCGATAAAGAATAGAACGGATGAATTTGCTACAGTTGATAATTCATTCACATAAAGTAGAACGAGAAGAGGACAAAGGTTTGTACCTTAGGGAACTCCACTATTTACGGGTTCCCGCGCTGAGAGAACTGTATTTTCTCTTACCCACCGTCTCTTATCACTGAGGACGTTATAACAGACTTCAAACCTTTCCATTCTTAATTTAAGAACCGAATGCAGAGGCCTTGTCAAAGGCTATACTTAGATCTAAAAAAATTATATCCACAGGAATATTTCGATTTTTTGCTTCAGCCCAATCTCCTCTTGCTATGAGCAAATTTGTCAAGCACGATAGGTCTTTCAAAAATCATGTTGTCCCCTGGATAAAAGATCGTACCTTTCCAAATAGTTTATAATGGCAATCCGAATAATCTTTTCAATTAGTTTGACAACTGCACTAGTCATAGTAACGGGTCGACAATTAATAAACAAGTATCTGCTCCCCGCCTTATATACCGTAATTCCAGTCTCTTGACAGTCTGGACTAGTGTCTACTGACCAATCCATCTTAATAGCGCTCTCCTGAGTGGCCGGTATGTTAGCTCTCCATACAATTGAGCGGGGCTTAACCTGATCGTATATCATGTCACAGGCTCTAAGCATGAATTAAAAGACAGAGTGATCGCTACTGTCTATCGGTGGAAGAATATTTAGATTGGCAATATGTTCAGTCGCATGAGTGATTACAAAGTCTAACAAAGAGCCCTTAAGTTTGAATACATGCTGTACTAGTGCATGCTCCAATACCGTTATCAGAAACTTATTATCAAGGGAGTTCATAGCTCCTGATATGGCCATTTCAGTTCAACAGATATCAGGTGCATTATGGTCTCTTAATATCAAGCATCTGTTATTTGCACTCCATAGCTGAATGCTGTAGTGTCGGTTATCATGTTAAGCCCATATACTTTATTCTAGCTTTCGGACGGCTCAATCTATCCATTCTACTTGAGTCACATTTTGACCTTGTTAATTATTCTCCTATTGATCTTGACTGTTACTATAGGAGCGCATATATGTGTGTAGATTTCTTATCCTATTCATCACATGTCTGTAACGTATTTTTGTGTGACCACTTCGAGTCAGACCACGGGCCATTAGAGTGGAGAGCCCTTTGACAACATCATCCGTTATAAATAATAACAAAAAAGAGCCCCACAATGTGCTCTAAAATACAGCCACCGGCCAAGCATATTGGACTGTGATAGATGACATTGAGTATAAATATAAATATCTCACAGCTACTGGTTTTACAAGTTCCACTATCGTGAGATTCGCAAGCAAAGAAGCAGGTATTTACGTTATTAGCTATATATAGAAGGACACCACCTCCTGTGCTACATCTATGTCTTTTACTTCTTATGTAATAGAATCCGGATAATTCTGGAGTAATGTCAAAGCCGTGGACTAACTGATTTTTCTGTCACAGATACAATAAGTAACCCGGAATGGGAATTCGCCAATGACTTGCCAACCAAGTGGGTGCTTTTAGTTTTTCACCTTTTACTTCTTTTTCGCCATACGATCGTCCATTTTTCATCACTCTGGACAGATACACCGAGACTATTGGGAACGGTGATGGTTTTATCCAGTTCCTCAATTTCTACTGTAGATGCATGACTACCCATATCCATATCAAGTGGCGCTTCACTCTCCGTTAACAGCATGTACTGTATTGACACATATTTCACTGTCAGTACTCGTGTTACTTGCACAGCCACCATCTCTCTTCTTACAGAAAAACATAAAAAGCCAATGAGTGTTAGGCTTCAAGCATCTTTTGTATGCGATGGAACTTAAACGGTCACACATCTTATGGAACCACTTCTTACACTCATCATATTTTATTCCTTCTTCCACAGGGAACGAGTGATTTAGCTGTCCACATTTATAAGTACTACCAACCAATGTAATTAGATTAAGAAGGTCCAAAACACAATATGAACACAAGTATCAGAACCAAAGAGAAATAAATGGCCAGAAGACGAAATTAAGCAAAAGATTGAACCTTAATCAAAATACTTCAAGTTAGGTCAATAATGTTTTTGACGCAACACGTACACAAGGGCGAATTAATCACAACAAGTACCGCAAAAATAGGATCTGGTAAACTATGGAAAGATATCGTCCTTATTTCTTAAGATCATGTCAGATTTTCTCATAAAAGGACTCCTGAGAAGTCGCGTGGAATAACCGTGCCAGTAGCGCACTCCAACATTTAACTACTCTCAAGGAATAAAAGGTGTGCCTACAGCCCGCTCAGGTGTGTTGCATTTCCAGTTTCTGAGTGTTTAGCGGCCCATGGATCTGACTCCAAGATCGTATAAGTGATTGTTATCGCCTATTCTCGTATATCATGGTCGACTTGAATCGCGTTAGTCAATAACGGAATTAAATAAGTCGAATAACGAGAATTGACTTGTGAATACATATATTTTCTACATGAAGCGAATGAAACAGCAAAGCAAAATGACACGTATGGAAGATGGCTGGGAAGCCAACTCCATTTTAGTCAAGCGTTACTCAATATTTATAGTCAGACAAAATAAAGATACAGACATGTGATTAATGGAATAAGAACGGCACACACATATACGCCCATATAAAAACAGTCAAGACTGACAAGCGAATAATTGACAAGGTCAAAATATGACTCAAGTAGAATGAATAGATTGGTTTGTCCAAAAACTAGAATAAGGTATATGGGCTTAAAATAATGACTGACACTACAAGTGTTACTCCAACGTTTGTGTAGGGACTAAGCTTAAGGGAATAACTAAAAGTGTTTAAGATGCTATAAATCATTAGGTCAACCCCACGACTCCTGTACTCTGATGGGTGAACGTTCAGTGATTAGAGTT